TGGAAATATTCAGCTAAAAATCAAAATTTCACATGATTGTTTTTTGAGCTCAATCGATTCATTTCGGCGTAAGAAGGTCACAAATATGCATTTATAAAGCGTTTGGGTCAATAATAAGGAATAAATCGTCGGTTAAAGATCGTAAACGCTCAAAAAACTCTTAAAATGTGCCGAAAATGTCTATTATTTTGGATCTGAAACTTCTAGCGTGTTTTTAAATGATTTTGATGCATTCCTCGCGTCCGTGAGCTCAAAATTACGTGAAATTTAAGACATTTTGAGAAAAAACACCTGAAAATCCCGTGCGTTACCCAGGCCTACTGCAAATTCGTAAAAATATATCTGAAGACACTCACGAATTCCAAACTTTCAGAATACGTATATTAAGTACATTAGACGCAATGTAATAAAAAAATCGACCAGCCTCTAAATTTTGAGTTTAAGAGAAAATCATTTTTTCCCAAAGATGTTGAAAACAACGTAATTTTTAGGAACACAAGGGCCCCATTTCGGCAATTCACATCAATAAATTCGACACTGAAGCTGCAAGCGCCAGTACGGATGGTAGTTGCATTATTTGGGACTTGGAGCGTCAATGCAGGCGGCAAATCTTGTTTGCCAAAACACTATTTTTGTGTGTTCGGTGAGAATACAGTTTTATTTCACTGTTTTTAACTACCAATCAAATGACAAATCATGGCTCGGTCCCTTCCAGGTATTACCCAACAGGAGTTCAAATTCTAACTGGGGGTTCGGACCGAAAGGTCGCTTATTGGGAAGTGCTGGATGGATCGCTCGTACGGGAACTTGAAGGCTCCCCTACTGGCACTATTAATACGCTGGATATTTCCCCCGATGGGGAATACTTTGTTACCGGGGGGAATGATCAGATTATCAAGCTATGGCGATACCAAGAAGGTTTACGTTTTTTGCTTAAAACGTCTTCGCAAATCCTTGCAAATAAATTTGCCTTTCAGGTACAACCACTCACATCGGCCTGGGACATGCAGCTGTTATAAACTCGGTGCATTTTAGCGCTGATGGAAAGTCCATAATCAGCGCCAGCGCTGCCGGCACAATTTTCCTGTGGGAATGCCCGGAAAGTGAAAGGAAGCAACCGGACAAAAATGACATGAAAATCAACACAGCAGCATTAGCTGCTGAATACCACTCAAATCCAACCGAAGAACACATCAAAGGTAACAAAAAGAGATGGAAGGACTTTCTCTTGTGCAACAATCAAACATATCGATGAGTCAATGCAAAAAATGATCTCACGAATCAAACACTCAACATAAATGTTTCACTGACACAATCTGTTTAGTTACACAATTGGATTGCTCAGCTACAATCAGTTCAATGGTCGGTTATGTGCCGATAAACGAAATCAGTGCATAATGTTCAAAAATAACTTCGCTTTCACCCGATCAGAATGTATGAAATTGAAAATATCTTTCCTAGATCTTCCAACTTCAAGAACAGCTTCGGGCAGCGCTCGAAGCTCCCAACATTCTCAACGAGACGACGGTTCTGAGCGCTGCAAATGCTCCTCAAATGCGAGCAGCATCAGCAGCCGCTCTTCATGCCTTCAATCTTTGGGAAGATCAGCACACAGTCCACAATCTTCGGACAGTGGTTTGAAGAAATCGACCAGGTCTTTGACCAAAGCTGATAGTGTGCGAAGCACACAACGGGAAGGGTGTAAAACAATTTCAAAATAGGAAAAGAACTTCGGGAGACGGGAGAGAAACGCAGCGTGAAAAAGACACCAGACAAATTGGGAAAAATAGCACACTTTTTCTTAGACAAATTTTATACAATTGTTTAGGTAGTACTTTTATGTTAGGTAGACCCTCGACCTCCAAACGGTGGAAACATGTGGTAATTTTCTAAAAGCAGTTTGAATATGTATAACTTTAAAAGAATGTGCAAGTCGAAATCTGCTTTGGCCAAAAAGACGCGAAAATACATTAAACAAAGTTCAAAAAACCACCCCAAAGTGTTTTTCGTTGCCAATTCACAGGGCTGGAACGATCTAATTTTAATCATTATCTAATTAATACTTGAGCCCCGTTGTAATAAAACCCATTTTACCCGATAAGGATATTTCGGTTTTGAACAGTACCGACCGAATATAGTGCATGTCCCCCGAGTAACTTTCAGTAAAAATTTGGTGAAACCCAAAAAAAGCGGCTTGAAAAGGTCCCCTAAAGGAATAAACTTGGAGTGAAAATACGGAATACTCAAATGAACCGGCAGTGGTTATTCACATTCGCGTCCACCACTGATTGATTATATTAGGGACAGTCTGTACAGTAGAAAACGAGTATTGCATGGCTGTAAAAATTGTTTATCTTTCGGTACTGCGCGACAGCGACCAAAGAGTAAATAATAGTGAAAACCTGCTCGCAGTGGCATTTTTATTAGTTTAGTTACTTCGTACCATCCATTGTCGAAAGGTTCTGGGTACTGGTCGCAGTCAGTGAAATAAATTCTTAAACAGCTCCTGCAGTGGTACCACAAACAGCCTGAAAGCGAGATGCCGAACTGCCCAAAGTGCGAGAAACCGGTATACTTTGGTATGTATTAAAATTCCGGCAAAGAATCTTGAATAATTTACCTACTTATCAAAAGTGGAATTTTTGCAAGTTCATTTTTCGACCCTTTCAGTTTATTTCTATGAGGGCAAACGACTGAAAGCATTTTCGTCTCATTCGAGTGCGCCGTATTGACCGTTTAAAAACGGAAATCCGGCCTAGAAATAATATAATAAAAATATTAAAATTAACGCCTAAATAAACTCAAGTACCGAACTAGAATCGAAACTAACTCCTACTCTAAGCACATAGATTAGATTAGATGTTTCCTCAAATTTTACGTATTTGTTTCACACAAATAATGAATTCAACATGTAGGTATATGGCGTAAAAACAAACTATCCCAAACACACTCGAGCAAATAAACTTGACATCATTTCCCATTCGGTTAAGTGGATCGAAGCAATTGCATCAACATTATTTACGAGAGAATTATAATAAAAAAACGGTTTTTATAAAAACGATGGCCGATTGATCATTCGAATCGCTAAATTCTTTAAATTAGTCACTAGGATGATGATGTAAGTGATGAATGCGAATTCCTCGAGTATGGTAATCTCTAATTTAAGCAGACGATTAAATCGGTTAAACACATCAGACTATTTGAGTCATTCAACGAAATTCAAAAAGCAAATTAAGCAAGGTGTTCCCAACCAGATGGTGTGCATGGGTGTGATAATAATTATTGTATCATTCGAATATTTAATACCATAAAAGGTAAAGGAATATTTATTGCAGGCCACTCATGCTTCGCCAAGAAAATTCCTTTCCACGATGGCCTAAAAGCCACTGGACAAGTTCTTCAGCTTGATAAAATAAAATAGAAATAGCACAAACTGTGTTACTCATTTTCAATCCACACTCAATAGAAAAATTAGCCTCGGACCACATCCTTCCGCGATAAAAATTGATTAAAAAAAATATGTGCAAACCGAAAGCTGTATTAATAGACTTTTAAAATGATAGAAATAAAAATACCTTTGTGTTGTCTATTTCACAGCCGAACGCAAAACATCCCTGGGCAAAGACTGGCACTCAGGATGTCTGCGATGTGAAAAGTGCAACAAAACTCTCACCCCAGGCAATCATGCCGAAAGAGAAGGAAAGCCTTACTGCCACAATCCCTGCTACTCTGCCTTATTCGGCCCTGGTGGCTTTGGAAGGGGCGGAGCTCAAAGCTACGTCTACAAGAAGTAGGCGCACGTTCCATAAGTCTGGAAGGATTCATTAGGATTAGATACTGAAAACTGTTCAATGTTCTTTCACTGGCGAAGCATAACATTTTTTTTAAATTGCCCATCTTTATAACCGGAAATTTGATATCTCCCTTATTTAAAGTTGCATAAGTATTAACACATAGCAATTTTCATGTGATCGATTACACTAAAGGTATTACCGCTAATTAAACGATAAGAAGATATTTTTATTTTTTGATTAATAAAATTGATTTATGACTTCACATGTCCCCTTCATTTAATACCCTAATATAACAGAGAAAAGGCTTTAATGCCTAGATGGACTGGGATTAGTGGTAGGCAGACAATGAGATGAGAATTTTTTATTTTAAAAATCCCACATCTTGATTTGGTTGGATTTGGACGAGAATTGCCATTAATGTCTGGTTTAATTTAATCGCAACCTTGTGACCCAAATCCAGGCACTCAAACAGTGTTTCCTCGTGCAAAGAGCCGGTTCCTATCGACGTGATGGTGCTGAAACATTCCTTTGAAACTGCCACCACTACAGAGCCAACGGCGCACTGTTCTTCTGTTAAACTCGGGTCTACTATGCAGTGATTGCCTATTTTACATACAGTCACCTAAAGGGGGAAACTAAAAGTCGAAGATAAATCATTAAACGACTTAAAGTTACCAAAACTGGAAGGTTTTCCACATTAAGCCTGTCGCAGTCAATTATATTGTCGGATACTTCTATTTCCACGTTGTCCCCATCAATATTAACGGCTTTGATTTTCGGCACTTGCGTTATATGAAGAGCAGCTTTCACTGCTAGAGAAACTGCATCGAACAGATTTCCACCGCATTCTAAAATCTACACCAGAACATGTTAAGCACGATGATAACCAAAGCTCTAATAGAAAGTTTACCAAAACATCCACATACAACTTCCAACACTTTTTGCCTTTCAAAATGCACAGTTTTCTCAGGTCGAATGTTAGTGGTGACTCATAGGCGGAAGACAAAATATTGGCAAGTTCAACCGCCAAACTTTCACCTCCACGGCCCTCAAAATCGGGAGTGGCATTAGCGGAACTAAAAGGCACACTTAGAAACTTGCAGCTTGCGCTTGATAATTACGGACTAACCAATCGACAAAGAACTCGATTTTTCCCTCAAAGGGCTTTTCTGGCAAGGGAGTGTCCACTTCGATTTTGACCGCAACCAGAACATCAGTGTTGGCCAATCTTAGTCGAGCCGAGCCAAAAGCATGCTGAACTATATCAGTTTCCAGTTCCATTGGTCTGTAGCCTTCACGATCTCTGCCATCCACTCGGAAATTTTCCTGGAAACACGAGAAAGACCTGCTTGATAAACGATTTTTCGGCAAAGTGCCTGCCTTCTCATTTAATGAAGAATTGTTCGATATAAAAATGAAGTAATTTTGCACAAATGTGCAGATCAAGGAGAGCCTATTTTTTCCGATCGCAAAACGTCCTTCAACCGCAAATTGAGCCATAGATTGAAAGCTCTGAAGCAATTTTCGCGGTCTGAGTGCGGTAAAAGGCTAGTGGGGCTGTGGTTGAAACGGTGAGTTTTTGGGGCCTTGCTGAACCGAACTAACCGACTCTGGAAATGCAAGTCACTAGCTTGCGAAACATCAGGAATAAATTATTTTCTACGTAGGCCAACAAGCTCGAAAAACTGTAAGTACGTTCAGATTTCTGAGTTTTCAGAGTTCAGACTTTTACTGCCCATAAGTCGGCCTCATATTCATTTTGGTCTCAGGCTTGGTAAAGCTTTAATCCGCCCCTGGCTTAAATGCCGACAACTTTAGCGCTTCGGCTTTGAAGTTTAACATTTTGGTTCACTTCAAGAGTCTGATGTTCAAAAAGCTGCCTCAATGCTCATAATACAACTCTTATATTGCGGTTGTGTCCTTCAACTTTGAGCAGTGTTAACTAATTTATAAATGTTCATTTTGTATGAAAGTTTACAAATTAATCGTGTACTTACTGCAACCCCATGTAGAATAAATGTTTTCTCGGCTTGAGATAGCGACATACTTGAATAGGGCCCTCGATTGCAAGCTCCAATGCACTGAACACAGCAAAATAAGTTCAATATAAATACAGAATCAAATTTGGATATAAAGTTGAGAAAATAGCATAACCTAGAAGAACTTAACTAAGGTTAAGTTACAGTTTTCGTTGATTTAACGCGAACATACCGGTCAAATTGAGCCACGTTCCTATCAAAGAATTTGTACATATTTATTTACTATTTCCGAGGCGATTAAGTAAATTCAATACATAAAATTAAGAGAAATAACTTTAAATTTTTTATATTAACTGTTCCGTATGCTGTGTTTTCTTTTCAGCCGCTATGTATAAAAGTGAGAAAGGAGATTTGGCACATTCATTTAACGTATGGCTATTTTGATATTAGGAGAAAGTGAAACACTCCAGTCTGGCAAATTGGTTTTAAAAAAAATACCGTCTTAAAATGTGTAAATTTTCATTAAAAATATAATTATATTATTTCTATAATGTATTAAATAACAGCTACGGCTGCTAATGCATACACCAGAACACTTTAAATGGGACTAGGAGTTATTCACTTTCATATATTTGCATACAACCATATTACGTTAGACATTCAACTATTAAAACATTTTTTTGTTTAATAATATAAAATTATTAGTAGGGATGCAAACCCCGAAATAAAACGAACCGTTGTTACCCGTTTTTCTCTGCAGTGATCAAAGATGGCGCGCTAACTATCCTTGTATTTTTCTAGTTTTCATTGTCAAAGCATTGTCAAATTTGTCATCATCTATGCATCTATGTTCAAATCCTCCGGTTGACTGTTGTTTTCATTATCGAATATTCTTCTAATCCCGTTTACAAGTGAGAAACATCAAATTTGAATCGAAAATGAGCTCTGTTGATCTGCCATTCCGGGCGGAATATTCGAAAAGCAGTCGTGCAAAATGCAAGGGCTGCAAACAGCCAATCGAACAGGCTGTTCTAAGAATGGCGACTCTAACTCAGGTAAACCGGAAAAGTAATGAGCTTTAGAGCTCTACGTGTATAAGTTGGATGGCCCGATTTTCAGTCTCCATTCCACGATGGGAAGCAGGCCAATTGGTTCCACTTTGACTGCTTCTTCACCAAGCGGAAAATCAATACTACAGACGATATCGACAACTTTGAATCCCTGCGAATTGAGGATCAAGACCGCATTAAAGCTAATGTGGGGGCCCTGGCTGCTATCGTTCCAGATGCCAAGGCCAAAGGGAGAAAGCGTCCGGCCGATAAAGAAGCGACAAAAGCAAAAAAACTGGCATTGAAGGACTATACTATTCAATATGCCAAAAGTTCGCGGTCCGTTTGCAGAGGCTGCGAGCAGAAAATCATGAAGGACGACGTATGGAAACAACCAGCATGAATCTGCTAAACTAACTAATGAACTTGTACAATTCCAGATCAGAGTATCAAAGAAGGAACATGATTCTGATGTTAGCAGACAAGTTGGGGGCATTGATCAGTGGCATCATTTGACCTGCTTTGCTCAGCTCAGGTCCGAGCTGGGATTCTTTGAAAGTGCTGATAAAATACCCGGATTCCAAGGCTTAAGCAAGGAAGATCAAACCCAAGCCAAAAAAACCATACCGTTAGTAGCCGATTAGTGTTGTAGGCAATTCACTCATTTGCAACTTTTCGAATATATTCAAGGGCCATAAAACAAGAAGACATTCCAGAGATCAAAAAGATTAAGATCGAGGATGATCCGTTGGATGAGGAATACAGGGAACAGAACAAAATCATGTTCAACTTCAGAGATCAGCTGAAAGAAGTGCCCAAGAACGAATTGAGGCTGCTATTGCAAAGCAATAATCAGGAAATACCCGAAGGTCTTGAGAGTTTGTATGATCGCATTAGTGACATAATGACATTTGGAGCCCTACAGCCTTGTAAAGGTAAGAACATTTTATAAAAATCACTGCTTGTGCAGTATATTGCTGGCTTCCGTAGAATGCAAAGATGGGCAGCTGATTTTCGGTAAAGCGGGCTATACATGCACTGGAAATTTGAGCGAATGGGCCAAATGTACGGTTGTAACTAAAGAGCCTGAAAGGACCAAGTTTGTGGTCCCCAAACAGCTAAAAGAAAGTCACCCGTTTTTGAAAAAGTACAGATATGTGGCGAGGAAAAGAGTTATTAAAGATGCGAAACCTTCTGTTTCTGTGAAAAAGGAAGCCAAGGATGAAGTGGATGGGCCGTGAGTACATAGTCACTTTCGAATCAATTATAAAAGCTGATAATCCGCGTTTCTTGTAGTCCAAAAGTGACAAGAGCATTGCCAGCCCTTTATGAGATGGAATTCGTAATTTTGGGGCACCCGAAGCGAGGCAAAGATGTCCTGAAGAAAAACATTTTAGCTTTGGGGGGGAAAGTGGTGACACGAATTCACGAGACAAATATGGCCATAATTGCGGATGTAGAGATGGTTGAGAAAATGGGAGTCAAAATGCAACAGGCTAGAGACGAAGAGGTTTGTGCACACGTCCAGTCTAAATGGGATTGGGCTTTATTTGTAGTATTGCCATAGGTCCACATTGTGTCAGAAGACTTCGTGGACGAGGCGAAAAACAATGCAGGAAAAATCCCAGAACTGATCATTAAAAAGTGCATCTGTAGCTGGGGATCAGATGTAATTAAGCTACTTAGTTGCCGGCATTTGTTACGATTTTTCTGTTTCAGCCCAAAGAGAAGCTTCCAATACCATCTTCCAAGTCAGCTCTCAAGTCGAAAAGCAGATTCACCAGCAACGTGCCCAGCAAAATCACCCTTAAACTAAAAGGTGAGTCATATTTTCAAAAATAATCTATATAAGTACGAGAAAAAACTCAATAACTTTTTTTCTTTTTTTGGTCTGGCATCAGATCATCAGTCACTTGATTTGCTAGGACAATTTCCTCGCTTTGCTTTTTAATATCGTCCCTGGACAGCACATGGGGGTCGATAAAAACTGTTTCTATTAAAGACTCTTCGCTAATTGCCTGGAATTCTTTGATAGTCTTGGTTGATTGATACATCAGGTGCTCAAATAGTTTGTAAGCCTCGTCTCGCTCACTTCCTTTCAGCAAATCTTTGGAGCTTTGAGCCAGCTTGCTGAACTTCTTTACCAAATCCGGTATTATCTTCGAACCATCAATTTCCTCTTCATCTGGTATCGGGGGCAAACCTTGCTCCAAGTATTTGATCTTTTTCGCAGACGGTTTCCCATTGTATGAGAGCAGTGTAGACAACAGTTGTAGGTGTTTCAGGGAGATGCGAATTTTGGCCATCAAGTTATGCCTGCAAATCAATAGCTTTGAAATTCGAGATATGAAGCAAAAACGGCCTTTTTTCAAGCACTTTACCTGCTTTCAATGGATTTGTTCAGCTGTCGAATATGTTCGGTCTGGTCCTCAATTTCTTGCAAGTGCTCTTTTTTGGTTTGTTTATACTGAGATGTAGTTTCAATCATTGTAAACTCCATTTCTGATTGAATAATAGCGGCGTGGCTGGTTTTCTTCAGTAGCTCGTTTCGGTTTGCTTCGCACTTGTCCACCATGGCAGTGAGACGTTCTTTCTGAGCCAGCTGCTCCTGAAGACACGGATATATTGCCTCCAGATTCGGGACGAAAATTGCATTTTTTAAGTACGTTAATGTCGTTTCCACGTCTCTTATGTTACTTTGGAGCTCCAAGAAGCTTTCCGAAGGGTGCAGTTGGACTTTTCCCAGATTAATGTCGCTGTCTCTTCTAAGAAGATCTTTCACGTTTGCTCCGAAGCTTTGCACTCTTTGGCTAACGCTTTCCAAGTCGTGCTTTCGAGAGGTCAAATCGTGCTTGATGATTTTTTCAAGATGTTGAAACTCCTGGCGACGATCGTCCAGATATTCGGTGGCAAGTTGTCCTAGTTTGGTCGCATTTATCATGCACTTGCCCTGACTTAAACCGTCATTTCGAATGGCTTCTAGTATTGCATCGAAATATAGAGCGTCCTTTTTCATAATGGCAATCATTTCTTTATAGGAGTGTCTGATTACAATGGCTGCTTCCTTTTTTAAAATCGCATCCTGCACTTTTCCAGTGATAATGTGAGCTTGTCTTTCGCAGGGCAACATGCTGGCCCAGCTTAGGCCTTCAAATCGCAGGATGTCTTCCAGCTCAGCGTATTTCAGCTTCAAGTCGATCAGCTCTTGGGTTTTGAGCTTCTTTTTGTACTGTAGAAGATCCCGCGATTTTCTCTTGTTGAAGTTAACTTGCTCCACCATTTCAATCACCTTTTGTGGCTGGGAGTTTTGATAAGCCAGCTGCATTTCCCGGTGATCCGACAACGTATTTCTCAACTTCTGCTTGTCGCCACGGATGGCATTATCCAGATCTTTTCTGTTCTGCTCGATTTCCTTTTGCATCTTCTTCAGCTCCCTGATTTGCTTCTTTTCAGCCACACCGGTGTCCACTTCCATAATTTTCCGGTCGCGAGTGTACAGCTTAATCAGGCCTTTGTACTGAGTAATTTTGTCTTTTGTGGTCCATCGGTTGGACGTCATTCCGTGCTGTTTGACTTTGTTAGCGGAAAGCATGTTGTTTGCGTTCATCTTGCCTGTTTAGGATAAAAAATACTAGATAAAATATTGATAAAACGTTAAAGTCAAAAGGGCTGCACGTCAACCGGCTAGAGATTTGCTTGGTTAATTGCTGCCTAGTTAACGGTCCCAATCTCACCTGCATGAGCATCACTCCTATGAAATTGATGTTTTTTTGCTTTCCTTCAAGGTGGCTCTGCAGTGGATCCCGATAGTGAACTTGCAGATGTAGCGCACGTTTATGAAGACCAGGAGAAACAAAAGTGGACGGTCGTATTGGGGCTTACCGATGTGCAAAAGAACAAGAACAGTTACTACAAGTTGCAGTTGCTCAAAGCTGATAGGAAAGACGCATTTTGGCTTTACAGGGGATGGGGCAGGATTGGTACCACTATTGGCGGTGAGTGGGTTTAGAAAATTTTATATATTTGTTTAAATAAAGTCTTGATTCGATAAAAGCTGATAGTAATGAAACCGTTATAAATAAGGCATTGGTCATTATTAGGCAACAAAACGGAAAAGCTCAATGGCCTCTACGAGGCCCAAGACTTATTCCGTCAACTGTATGAAGAAAAATCGGGAAATCAGTGGGATGAAAGAGACCATTTCGTGAAAGTGCCCGGAAAAATGTATCCGATCGATATTGATTACGGCAATGATAAGCTTGAAAATCTGGATATTGTCCAAAGTGACTCTAAGCTGCCCAAGCAAGTGCAAGTGAGTGAGCTTTAAAAAAATCAAGTTTGTCGATAACAGTAATTTTGCCCATTCTAGAACTTAATAAAGCTAATATTCGACGTGAACCAAATGAAAAAGCTCATGCTGGAGTTTGAGCTGGACACGGAAAAAATGCCGCTTGGTAAACTGAGCAAAAACCAAATGCAGAAAGCCTACACTGTTTTAACTGAGCTGCAATCGATCATCGACAAAGAAAATAACCCAAACAAATTGATCGAGGCCACTAATAGATTCTACACTTTGATTCCCCACAGTTTCGGAGTAGATGAAGTTCCTATTCTGAAGGACAAGGAGACTATTAAGGTGGGAAACCCCCACATCTACCCCATAAGTTACATTCAATACGGTTTCTATCAATTTCAGCAAAAAATCGATATGTTAGACAGCCTTATGGAGATGGAGATTGCCTATAATCTCATGAAAGCTTCAGGTGGCGAGCATACAGTGGACTCTTACTACAATCAGCTTAACACGGAAATCGACATCCTCGATAGAGAGTCTGAGGAATTCGCAATTATTCATGAATACGTTAAAAACACTCATGCAGCCACTCATTCCAACTACCAATTGGAGGTTGAAGATGTGAGTAACTGTTGTGTTGTGTTCGTTGATTCGAGTTTTAATAGCATGTTTTTCTAGGTGTATGTTGTGAAACGAGAAGGCGAATTTAAGAGATACAAGCCGTTCCGCAAACTGCATAACCGCAAGTTGCTCTGGCACGGCTCCAGGACGACTAATTTCGCCGGTATTCTGTCTCAAGTAAGTAGCGGAAACTCGCCAGAAGACTGTCTTAAAATTATTTTTATAGGGCTTAAGAATAGCTCCCCCCGAAGCACCTTCGACAGGCTATATGTTCGGAAAAGGAGTTTACTTTGCCGACATGGTATCGAAGTCAGCCAACTACTGTTGCGCCAGCCCTAAGGATCCCAGTGGTCTACTTCTGTTATGTGAAGTAGCTTTAGGAAACGTAAGTTGACATGTGATAATAATAATAATATATTATTTGTTGAATATTTGCTTTTAGATGCTGGAAAAAACCCAAGCAGAATATATCGAGAAGCCACCGAAAGGCCACCATAGTGTTAAAGGTCTGGGTGCAACTCATCCAGATCCAAATCTGGTTAAAAAAATCGACGATGTCGAAGTTCCTGTGGGAAAAGGCGTTCCAGCTGCAGGAGTAAAAGGCAGTACTCTTCTGTACAACGAGTATCCTTTTCTTATAATGCTGCTAATAATTCTGTTAAGTCATCACTGACCAATATTTCCCTTAATACACTCTCTTAGGTACATTGTCTACGATGTTGCCCAAGTTCACATTAAGTATCTGCTGAAACTGAAGTTCAAGTACATCTTCTCGTAAACAGAGAAACGGCGTTTAATGTTGATAATAATGTTTGATTTAATGTTACCTGTTAAATACTTACATAATGTTCTGTAATTGCCTCTATTACTGTTATGTTGTTTGTTCCAGTTCCTAACGTAGCTTTAAACATCGCTATTTGTATGAATTTGTCTTAAGGAAACTATCAAGCTTGATACTAAAAACCGATATTTTGGTTTAATTCATTTTCTATGTTTCTAATTAAAAATAAACTGTTAACTAGCGACGTTTATTTTTTACTTAAAAAAGGCCGAAGTGCATCACGGCTTCAGTTTCCGGGCAATACTTTAAAACACACGCACACAAAAAACGTATAATAAATTAATCTGGATCACCAAAAAAACAACAACAATCCAATAATGGGCTGACACTATGCAAAATTTTGCAACTTAAAAACGAAGAGTATGTGAAACCTGAGAGACTAGAACATCGCAACTAAAGCTACGATTTGGGAATGAAATGAATCACTCCATAATCGCCGTTTTCCATCCATTTACTGTCTTCTTTTTCACATCTTTCGGCCACTCCTGGTTGAAGACCAACCACAATGTCCGCTTTGATTGTCCGCAGAGTCAGCAATCTGCTGGGTTGAAAGCCTTGCAAAGCTTCTAAGGGAGGCGTGGTTGGGTCCCAGTTTTTCTCCCCAAACAGCTTCCTAAATACGAGGAAACAAAATACTGTGACAAACAGATAAATCAACCAACCTGTAGTTTAGGTCTCCTTTGAAGATTACGCATGCAGAATCACTCAATATGCTGTACAGGTCTGGAGCCAACTCTTTCATGAATTTATACTCGTATGGGTAAGTCCAAAAAGGATGTGCAATGATTGACCACTGACCTGAAGACACGAACTCTGAAAAGTCATCAGTATGTTTTTATGCACATTTTTCCAAATATCGTGCCAACCTTTACACTTTTTTGCAAAAGCTCTGGTGATTTCGTCATCCATTTGGGACATTTCCTGCAAGGTCCAATGAAAATCCGTCTCAGTCACATCGGATATGAACCATGGCATAACTTTCACATGAAATCGCACTTTAAACCCTGGATATGCTGCTGATAAACTGCTCATTAGAATTAGATCTGTAATGAGCTCATATCCAGCATTATCCAGGACGACATCTTCAAAATTTGAAGCTGTTAAATAATCTGGAATGTTTTCCTTAATTGTGGCAATCAATATTTACCGATATAAACCGCTGTGGAAAATTCGGTTGAGGAGAGATTGTCGTAAAACTTCTGCGAATCGTCCACCAAGATGAATCGGTCCATCTCGGTTACATTGAGCACATTCAAGACGTCGTTTACCTTGCCTAGAGTTACCGATAAGTCGCATTTATTGCCCCAAAGATTGGCCTACAACACATGGAGGATTCCAACCAAGACTCGATAGAAGCACTTTGCAATCACCTTAAGGTAAGTTAAAACCATCTCCTGGGTAAATTTTTCGTCGCTAAACCCTCGATCAGTAACACCTTTCAGGTGTTTGCTTAAAATCACTGTGGCAGCTCTGCACTTGTTAAACTGCTCCTGCTTAAGACTTCGGAAATAGTCAAAGCTGCCTAAAGAATCACTAAAAAAGGCATTTCAAACACTTCTGAACTGGCGGCACAGCTTCCGCTTACGTTAGCGAGAAAACTTCCTTAATCCTTCTATACATGTAGCATTCAACCAGCAGCCAAATGGTGTTAAAATACGTGGTTTCACCCTCTTCAGTGGCTTGTTTGTCGATGTAATCGTTGTATATTTTAATATCAGGCGCATCCGACAGCAGTTTGGTGAGCGGTTTGTTTGTTTGAATCTCATATTTGAACTTCGATAGCTCGCTGATGACTTTCTTCAAGTCTTCGGCAGAATTCTGAATGGGAACAGGCTATATTACCGTTTGCGTAATGGTTATCGGTTTTATAGTTGCTATATTTTTGTCAATAAATTATTTAGCGATTGAACAACTTTTTCGTATCAATTAAATTGAATATCACGTCCCTATCGCAAAAAAAAATAATTTAAAAATTACTCGTTAGCAGCAATATTCCACTTGGTAGCACCACGCTGTATGCTAGGTAAAACTGTAAAAAATCAGTATTACCTGGTCAAATTCCTTAACAACGTCTAGTTTGGTACGAGAAAGAGTATCAATGATTTGTGTCAGGATTACTGGCATTCGATTCTTCACCGTATGATAGGCGAAGCTCCTGAAATTTGCATTAGGTGAAAAAAATCTGAATGTCTGCAAATGACTTGCTTTCATAATACAAGGGGTTGAAGTTTTAAATTTATATTTTAATTTCGCCTTTAATTAATTTAATACAAAAGTCATATACAAATATTCGATGTCAGGAAGAAATAATGTTTGTTTTTATTGGGATAAACTAGGACTAGCTAGCTTTGGACAAAACAGTTGATTTCATCAGGTCTTTCACGTTATTTGTGGCAAGAAAATCCAGAACAGCAAATAAGACAAGTAGGCCTGAATAAAGGCAAATAAATGCATTTATAAACGAAATATCTATTTACAAATAGCTTAAGCAATGTAAAGAGTGGACGCAAATATTTTCTCAGTTCCTACCTTTTATAAAAAGCTGATAAATAAACATTTCTTGGAGTTTTAAGGTCCATACTCATGTCGGTGCATTCACACATTGAGACCAAATTAACAGCCGGATTTCAATAATTGAATGAAACTTAACAAATAGGGGGCTACTTTGAACTGATAATGGCACTTTTATCAAGCAATAGCCGCATTTCTGATAAGGAAAATAGTTTTAAAGGACACCCAAAAACACTCAATGACACAGCTTGTCAAAAACACATGTGTATTGTTTTGGTTGATCGATTAATCAAATGACTGAGCCTGATTAAGTCGCCTATCCTTCTTTCCCTTGGACTAAAAAAAGGATGGTGATAATGCTCTGAGAGTGGGCATTGTTGCAATCAGCGACAATAAATCACAAAAATTTGGTCAAAATGTCCAAGGGCGCATTCGTGACTTAAGTGGCAAATCCCTGTGAGCACAACCGTTTTAAGTAAAGCAGTCATAACAGACTACACACTATTAGTCATAGTGATCTGTTTTTGTTCGGGATGTTCGGTATCTTATCTACAGCAGTTTTTCCAGTTCGGTAAGACTGGTTCAATATTATTTGAACAGATTTGCTACTAATAAATCCACGGGGGTTATCCCAAAATTAATCATTTTTTTATGGATTATTCAAAAGTAAATCAGCGTTGATTTCGCTTGTTCGTCCAAGATCTGAAAATAATGGGCAATTGTTTGGAACAGTTTAAGAAATCACCCTCCGGCAACATAGAGTAAGTTTTACTTATTTATTCACCTAATAAGGCTTTATTTTACGTTTATCGCATCATAAAATTGCAAGTCAACGGCACACAATCCAGAATCTTTGCGAATGCACTTAAAAGTACTAATTAGAATTATTATATTTATTTATTCAGTCAGTCTTAAGTAAACTTGTTTATCAGCGATTTCGAAACACATGTCTGACATGGTGAAAGTGTGTTTTGTTTCATGCACTACATATTCACAAACTACCATGATATCTGGGGGAATCCCCGATAATCCTTAGTACACCCTTAATGAGTGGCTGGACACCCATTAAGGCATACTTTTTGTTTAAAGATGCTTCGAATGAATTTAAATCAATTTTTTAGAAGCCTATTTTTCCGTGTTTATGTCTGTTTTTCACACAAATACCGACAACATTGAACGCAATAATTCTGTGTTGGAAACAACGACAATTTTAGAAAATGTTCTTTGCACTTTTACCGAACTAATTCATACCGCTAAGTGCGTGAAATGTTAAATAAATGCATTGAAACTGTGATTGAAACTAAAATTTCAGTTTTTTGATTTGCATTAATTCAATTCAATATTTAAAAAAATGGCGTTATGCCCTCATTCCTATATTTAATTTCAAAGGAATCGAAATAGATGATGATTTTTCTGATAAATAAATTGTATAAATGTTCCTCCGTATTGTACGATTTCTTCACCTTTTCCCTTTTCTTTGTCGGCTTTATGTAGCTCCTCAAAATACTCGCTCCATCTCCATCTTCATCTACCTAACTTTATTTTCCCGCATAACTTTTTGCTTTGTCTTTCGCCGTCAACTTTGCAAAATGTATTTATATTCTATTCTAACTACATATTGTTTAAAAAGTATTATTTAAAGTTTCTAGAGAAATCTGCGGATTTTTTAGGGATTCAAGCGACGAACATAACGATGATCTGGAGAATTCTAACAGTCTCTTGATATTTCCTACCGAACATTCCCGATATGATACGCATTATAAGATGAATGGCAAATTACGTGGATTGACTTTGATATTTAACCATGAAAACTTTGATAATGAAGATCTAGCGCCAAGAAAGGGCACTGAAAGAGATGTGGAAAAAATTGCGAACACTTTTAGAGCTCTAGGATTTCAAATACATTGTTACAACGACTTGACTCTGAATGAATTGAGAGATCTGATCCAGGACTGTAAGTAATTTATCAGTGTGAAGTTGATTACATGAAAAGCGTCTTTTGCGGCTCATTTGAGTAGTAAGTTGTTTTAGCAGCAGCACGCTTCCATGAGCACAGACTGGAAAAATTTACACTTCATTATTTTATAGCAAATAAACGAATCAGCAATCTACAACACACAATAGGGGCATTATATCTGGGTAAAACTCCTCATAACTCCATGAGCGTGTTTTCTGCTCTATACTAATTATAGAATAATTATTATTCGAGCGCTTCTCATGCAGATTTTCGCAGAAATATCAAATTAACAAAAACAGTAGTTTTTTCTTCTAAATGACAGGGTGTCCGATAAAAAATGCATCAAAAATTGGTCAAATTACTGAAATGGTTTCTGAAGAAATAACTGTCGAATTGCGGCTTGCATAAACAAGGGCAAATTTTAAAATAGTGCGAAAAGTGTCCTGAGGATGATTCAAAATCGAAATGTTTTCCACTTATAGAACAGACTTTGCCCTATAAATGTGACACAAAAGTTCTCCAACTTTGCAAGTTCCTGAGCGAATAATTGTGAAGCTACGATCTGCTTAAATATCCGCAAAAAGCACACGCAATATTGAAAAATTCTTTAAAACTGCCTGATATTGACTAAAAATCGAAACTTTTGATACTTGCAGAGTAGACTTTACCCTACAAAACACATTCAAAATTGGCGTTCTCGCTTAGCAATTTACAAAGGAAATAAATGCCAGACGCAATTTCGAAAAATTCTTGAAAATTGCCTTATGATGACTAAAACTGGAAACTTTTACATTTCGCATTTCAACATTTCTCTAATAATAATATAACACAATACATTAATTTATGTGCTGGTGTTATCTGTTTTATACAGACATTTTATACTGTAGCAACTAAATTGCAGATGTTAAGCAGGATTACTATCACAATTTGAGAGACTGTTTAGTGATATTTATTCTCACCCATGGACATAACGACGATCTGTGGGCAAAGGACACCACGTATGACCCGCAGGTGGAAATTGTGGAGAATTTTACCAATGATAAATGTCCATCTTTTGCTGGTAGTGTTTAATAAAAGCATGTTGAAATAGCGCTGATAACTGTGGATGTTGCTTTTCGCTTTTAAAATGCTCGATTAATTCGACCGAATCAAGTCTAAAACAATAATTGCGGGTATTTCAGGAAAACCGAAGCTGATTTTCATCCAGGCTTGTAAAGGGGAAATAGTTCAACGTGGGGTGAAATTGCAGATGCGACCAAACCGCACAAGCTTTGATGGATTGACCTTTTATGAATATCCCACTCATGCAGATTTTCTAATCGTGCATGCTACTTCTAAAAGTAAGTGCTAACAAACGAATTGCTAAAAGTGCTGAATAGTAATCACTTCTATTCTTAGAGCATTATGCTTTTCGCAATGAAGAGAAGGGGTCGTTTTTTGTCACAGTTTTGTGCGAAGAACTAAGCCAACGGCACCAAAACACCGATTTGCTAGCGATTTTGATTGGCGTTAATCGAAGAATGGCTATTGAATTTTCATCCTCAAATAGCGACATCACTAAGCACGGCGGTAAACAGGCGCCGTATTTCGAAAGCTCTCTAACAAGATTAATCTTGTTTGGACATGGATCTAATTCACCAGACAACTAGACATTCCAATTTATTTTAATTCCATTACATGTTTATTCTCTTTGTATACTGAAAACTGTATGTGTTTATAACTCAAATAATGGAATCTCTAAATGAGAGAATTTCTACGCTCAATTGAAAGATGTTCCTGTTATGTAATGTTTTGTATATTATAATATACCACTTTATATATACATTTTCTAATTCCTGCTCAGTTGCCTCGGGTTTTCATAAAACCCAATAAATATTTCCCCAGAATATGAATTAGAAATCAATTCCAGTTGAGGCTCTTTCGCATTAATCTTCTCAAAAAATGAAATTTTCAATCGCTGATACATGTAAAAGTACATTTCGAGTCTTTTCACTGTCTTCTGATTTTTTTCCGATTGCTGTTACCGTTAGGCATGCGGGACTTTTTTGCCTACATAATTTTTATATCCGATTTAAATATACAATAATTGAAGAATATTTATTAGCAAATAAGTAGATACATAAAAATATATCAAAAAAATTCACTAAAGTATAATATAATAGGAATACCATAATAATTTTCTACTCTAAAATAAAAATGAGCAATAAACATAGGTACCTAATCTAAATAACCAAGATATGTAAAAATTAATGAACCTTCTGCAAATTCGATTGATAAAAGCGAATAGCTAGCACTATTAGTAAGTAGGACAGTCGAATTTTAAAAGATTCATCACTTGATTATAGCTTAAGACTTAATCTAGAAAAATAAATGCGCATCTAGGATAAATTGTCAAAATATAAACAAATGACAGAAAAAACATACAACATATTAATGGATAATTCCAGCTATCCAAATGCTCAAGGACTTTTTTCGTTTTGTATGATTTTATTGCACTATTAAATGCCCGAGGAATAGTTGGCAAAAACCAAAGTTTCCCCCTTTTCATACATTGCAAAGTCTTTAGTTAAACAGGAAAAAGTAGCATTTTAAAATATTCTGTCATTTTTACATTTAAATTTGATACATTTAGCTCAGATGCATAAAAAAGCATTCTTGTAAATTGGCGTACAAAAAGGTCTGCATGAAAGACAATGGCACGGTATACAAAAATACGTATTCTCTAAATATATTTTTAGTGTAAAATGGTATTGGGTCATTCAATAGGTAGTTTATCGCATTGTATCAAAAATTTAACTGCTTGAACATGAGGCAGTGTCATTTTCAGGGGCAGCATCGGATTTTTTATCCAAAATTTCTCTAAAAATTCCAAAATTCGTTAAAATTGACGAATGCTTTATACATGGCAGTGAACGTTTCCCACTAAACTTTTCTAAAGGTGTGTTAACATTTATCGGCTACTAACTACACGACAATAATATATTTTAGTTTAATCTACATAAACCATTCATTATACGTTTTCTCCATCAGCTATAACCCAATCAGAATGCTACTTATGTGATGTGATTAATCAGTTTCTTCGGTTAGTTAAACATAATTAGTGTGGCTCTATAAAAACGACTGTAAAAGTGTTAGAATAAATTCATGAAATGTTAGCCCAAAAATTTCCTTAATTTATATGAAAGTTTCTGTAAACTGTATACTCGGAAGAATGATTGATTTCCATAAGACAACTGAATCTGATTCCCGACAGTAGATATTAACTAGTAACAGCATTTTCATCAGTTTCAAGGTTCATGTATGTAATAAGTTGTTTGATTTCGATAAAATACGTTAAAAATATATGTAAGCACAAGTATGAATTAATACTTACCATATTAGCTAGTTAGGGTATGAAGAAATTACGGTCTACACAACACTGACACCTTGAAGTACAAATAGACATGCTTATCGCGATACGATACACTCGATTGAAAGTGTATTAGTTAAATAAAGTGGTGCTTAACAATTGACAAATTTCCCACCAACAAGCAACTGAAATCAATCCAATAAACGACAATCTAGTTCCTCAATCATTAGCATGCCCTTCTAGTAAATAAACCCCATATTTACATAACCAGCCAGTTGAAGCATTCGTGGAGAATCAGCTTTAAATATTAATTAATGAAAGTAGCAGAGAGCACAATGGAAACATTAGCCAGTTTTACAGGTAAGCAGATTCTCCAAAAATTACCCAATCTACTTAGACCCGCTACTGGTTCCATACCCGGGGATGGTGAATTTAATGAGCCGCGTAAGCATGCTCATCACACAGGGAATTTGCTTCTGTCTGTGCATGGTTGGTGAGTCGGGAACATTGCTTTCAAAGTCCACAGCTACGCGTTGAGACACGAAGGTGAGGATCGTCATCAGATCCTGTTCGTGAGCTCTGCGCTGCAGCTCATCGCTCAGAGCTTGAACGAACCAGGACCCTTTGGTGGTATTGCGCCAAGAATAGTAACCTGTTGAATAATTTATTTTTGTGCTGCTTTGTCCTTGGGCTAATAGGCGTAAATCGGCGAGGATCGTTCATAATAAAATAGGGAAACGTTTCAAATGACGCCCTATTTCTAACTTTTTTATTATCATAGTTTCGATATCGGTACAATTATCAATCGAACCGAGTAATTTCCGATGGTTAAAATGCTCAGAAAGTGATGCATTTCTGATAATCCTTAACGTATTACGTTATTAAAACCTTGAGGTGCGCAGAAATAAATCTACTAGATATATGGGGCGATAAATGTCCCCATGTGGATCAAACGAAAAAATCTCTAACTTGGTAATTTAACCGAAATCGACACAATAACAAAAAAATCAACACTAGGGCACACTCTGGTCATTTCAAACACCCGGCAGATGGATGAGATGAGAATGAACCCCAAAAAACCTTCACGTATATGTAAGCTTTCTATACTTACCAGTTATATCCGTTGTCGGTTTGAAGAACACAAAAAACAGTCAGTTGTACATGCAAAAAAATCACTTACCGTGAACTGTGGAGAACACAATCAGAAAATCGGCCTGGGACGGAATTTTGTAGGACGTGAAAATCTCTCCGTCGGTCTCTGTTCTGCTCATTGCTAAATTCACACCGCCATCCAGTTTATCGCCTTGGCAAGCTTGCATAAAGAACATCTTCGGTTTACCTGCCCAAAAATAAGAAACATTAAGATTCGAGAGTCTACAACAAGAAAGATATGGTGGCTGCTTACAACCCTGGAAAATGGGTCTGAAAGGTATCTTTCCTAAATAGAGAAAATCTCGCCAGATTACAGAAATGGTCGCGAAAGTCAACTTCGTTACAAACAACGTTTACAGTTCGAAATACCGAATCGTTACCGGGTGCTGGTATGGGTCGATCACAAAACTTTGAATACGAGGATACGATGTGATGTTGAATTGCTCTTGGAGGTTTGGTGCCACATAAAATAACTGTAAATCATCATCGGTGTGTTTAAAATTATAAGATTATTCATGTAAAACAGATCAGCATTTTGCGAAACTATTGCTGTAAAAGTAGGAAGTATTTCGTTACTTTTACAACAACCTTAGCCAGTTAATCCCTTTACTGTACCTGCTAATGTTGGGCACCTGTCGGGTGTGAAAAACGTCCATAAAATATCCGGTTTGTATGCATTGTCCTTTGCATACACAATGTTCGATTCCCCATGAGAAAGGACAGCAATGAAGAGACAGTCGTGATGGGTATGATCCATGGCAGACACTAATCAGAAAGTTTCCGTTTGGAAATGAAAAATAAAAAAATGGCAAATAGTTACCGTCTCTTATCCGATTTTCCAATTCCATGTATGATAGATCCTTAAAAATTTGCACGTCGAAGCCGAGATATCTGAGAGAGTCGCTTAGGTTTCGGCAGTCCTCATTGGTGCCAGCCCGGGATTTTAAACCAAAGCATTCGAACATTTCATGATTAAAGATCAGAGCAACGCCTCGTTTCTTGTGGTCCATTTTGTAATGTGTTGCGTATTTTGGAACGGGCATCCGAGCGTAGATTTCTCCAGGGCGAGAGCTGAACAAAAGAAAACGATTGCATTAAAATAAACAAAATATTTGATCATTTATTGTCATTATCTAGAAAAGCAATTTTTCTCAATAACGAAAAAAGCAAAGGATTTACTGCTGATACTGATATACATCAGCAACAGATATCATATGTGTTTAAAGACAAAGGCTGCGTTCCAATTTTTCAACCTTTTCGCCGATTTTATCTTGAAAACCATACAGAATCAGATTTACTTTTCGCTTAAACCAATAAAGCCATCCGAGATTACAAAATCAGTATCAATAGTGCAACAACCAGTTAATCTTATCCATCATTGGCAAAACCTGTCTTTCTTCTTTAGATATCGTTCGAGCCCTTCGATTGCATCGCTTTGGAACAAAAGGCTAATCTGGGTCTCCAGCTGATTTTGACCAGATGGTAACCAAGACAAAAGACATGAATGGGCTGAAATGAGGCCCTTGCAGCCAGATTAGTTGTCCCGACTATGAATATTATATAAGTCCACCTAAGTGAAACTCAAAATTCAATTATCAGGGGATTAAAGGTGAAGCAGAGCAGGTGATTTGCTGGAATGTTTGCAATGAAACCATATTCTGTATCTACGTATCTTTCGATACAACTCAGCTAATCATCAGGCCATTTACCTTTCCGTGAACAATGAAACCAAGACACGCATCATACTGAATTCAGCAATTTAGAGCAGCTAATAACGAAATGAGTTAGAACAGCTTACCCAGGCCTGCCCAGAGCATCTCCTTCATCCAAACAACCTCCATTGCTTTCACAATTGCCATTGAAACAATCGCCTTCTTCTGCATCTTCAAATATTTCTTCGCCGTTCTTCGTATGCCCTACCTCATCTTCTCCACTGGGATCCATCATTAAACATCCAACTTTGGGGATCCGTTTAAAGTTTAAATCACAAAATTAGTCTTCAACTGACCACAACAACACGTGAAACGAAGGAGAAGCCAACAAGAACCTGTATTGATACGACGCACGGCCCGCTTTGTTTTTTATTTATATAGCCATTCTTTTCTTTTGTACACCCAATCGCATCAGTCCTCTTTGTTTAGGGTCTCTCTAGTTTTCAAATATAGCCGTTAGCCGTCAGGCTTCGTTTTCGCATGGTTATCAACCAGGTTGAAAGCGGCCTGCATTTTCACTCCAATTCGTTTAGTTTGCTCTGCTAAAACTCACTATTTAGCAGCAGGATTAAGCAAGTGCATTTTTATTCTTTGCAGATCTCAATAAAAGTCAATAAACCGATTAAATTTTAGGCGTGACGTCACAATATTCAACCGGATTGTCTACCGGGATAGTGACAGAGCGCCAAACTGGCAGCGGTCGCGTGACGGTTGCAATATGAGGTTAACCGCAACCGATTTGTTTGTAATTTGTAAATTATTTGTTATCTATGGTGTTCATTGCGATTTACCGGCTGTGTATCAAATTGTAATTGTAAGGTAAAAATATTTTCATATACACCTATTTAAGATGAAAATTCAGTAGAATAATTGCTACTAATGTGGCAATGGGGGTTATAATACCAACTGAAACAAACTCTTAACATTAGAAGTATTCAGTTGAGATAACAAAATTCAAATTCAAACAGGGCTTGTTCTGGAGTGTCTCCGTCCATGATCACTCTAATACACTTTTAATTGTTATTGTTGTTTTATCCGCCTGGAAAAAAACAATAGCACTAATTTGGGTTACAAGCAATGCGGCTTCAACTTTAAAAGTTCAGTTTCAACTACCAAGCCACTTCTAGGCTATGCTTCCTAAAATCTTTAATTAAAAAACTCCCCTAGCTGTTTCTAAGTTAAACTATTGAGAATATAGTTTATTCCCAGCCTTCGCTCTACTTACATGACGATTCCGTTTATACTATCCAAGATGAGAATAAATAAGTCTGGGAGGACGCCCCTTATACAATATACAGTATAACTTCTGTAATCCGAACTAAGGAACTAATCAGAACTAATAAGTTCATTTGGTGCATATCTCGAAACATTTGACTGCCTGTGCTAAATACGTTCGGGTTCTACGTTTTTTTCGCCTTCGGGCTCGTCAGAGCTAGAGTGTAGTTCATCTTGAACACGATCTGAAATATTCATATCCTTTATAGATTCCTCTTGATCTTGACCGGCTACCTAATTAGTCACTTCTTAATGTGTAAAATCTCTTCTAGATGGTCTGGCGCATGAGCTTAAATTAGAAGTTGTAAATTGAGCTTTCCAACTGTAGGAACAAATTCTGTGTAGAAACATTTTTTTAAATATCTATTGTCCCTTGCTTTCCTCTGCCCTTTGTAAGCCATCGATAACTATTAATTTCCAAAAGAACGAGGCTTTCCAGACCGGCCACGCACTTTCAATTTCATTTTATGGGACTTAGAGGCGTTTGAACAATACATTCTCCCCTTGCTCATTTTTCTACTTGGGGAGGATGCTTCAGATTGATCAGCAAGGGTCCTTTGAGGGACTAATTTCCAAAACAGGCCACTTTCGTCTGCATTTCCCGGACGTTGTTTCGCAGCAGTTATTTGAATCGGCAGCACTCGTAAAATTGCGTTTAAAATTTCTCCTGGCAATGGAAGGCAAATATTTTTGAAGTAAATTACCTTAACTGTTGTTGAACGTAACTGTTGGGATCAACGAATTGTTCGCCCGGACTATAGCGGGAGCTTCCAGACGTTCGAATTAAAGGGGTTTTACTGTACTCATCTAAACACAATAAGATTGTTATCATTGTGTATATTTTCCTGACTGTATTTCAACTTAATTCAAAATAAATTCCTGGGTTCCAGTCAATTTTATTGTTTACCATTCAAAATGTCACAAAAACGTTTCGGTGTTTGTCTCCACCATCATCAGTTTGTCTAAAATATACATTCACATTCGTTATTAGTTTAAAAGAAGAGCTCTGTTAAATATACATACTAAAAAACAAATTAGAAACATATAAAAAGTATATTGAAATCGTTTGAATCTGTTGGGATTACAGGTGATGAGTCAGGACAATCATGTTTGGGAAAAGATTAGAATTTATTGCTTAGATATTTAAATTTTATTTACATGTATGGTTGGTCCTAACTTCACATTTGGCAAGCCACTGAAAAATCTTTACTTCGTCCAATATACTTTTAAACTAATAACGAATGTGAATGTATATTTTAGACACACTGATGATGATGGAGAAAAACACCGAAACGTTTTTGTGACATTTTAAATGGTAAACAATAAAATTGACTGGAACCCTGGAATTTCTTTTGAATTGTTATCATTATAATTTAGGTGGAATCAATAAATATGAAGACGAAAAACCCGAATCCGTCACGAAGCAATTCGTCTAAACGGCAGGTCGAGTTTTACGTTCGCAATGATCAGTATAGCTGCTCAAGGAAAACTTTTAGAGAAATAAGACATTATCAGCAGATGACAGATGTGCTCATTCCGAAAATATCCTTCCAGCGATTAATTATGGAAATTTTAAGAAGCTTTAATCCTGACGCTCGAATAGCTCATTCTGCTGTAGAGGTGAGCGTATTTTCTCCAGTGTCGACGTCTGAGACTGATGGATTAACGTTTTTAGGCGTGCCAAGTAGTGGCGGAACATTATCTTGTGGAGCTGTTCAACGACTCGCAAAGAGCGGCTAATCACGCCCGAAGAAAAACCGTTCAACCAAGGGACATGCAATTGGTTCTTGAGTTCAAGCCAGTTTGAACAGAAGTACGTTATGTCAAGATTGGTCCCATTGTATTTATTTTTTTTTAAAACTTTATGGCCCAGAGCATCGGCATATGTTTTTGACTGTAATGCTTGCCATGCAAGCAACGTAAGTTTAAGCAAAATGACACTGTTAATGTAGGATCATTATTTATGTTAGAGTCGTTTTCATTTATCTAGTATCTAAGATAAGAAGGACTAATAACTAAGATATTGTAACTCTTATTAAATTTATATTTTTATAAGTAGTTAAAAAGTTCAAAAAAGGCTGTATTTTATTACTGTTGTTCTTCCCAAACTTGCGGGAATTTTCCAGAGAAAATTGGCTGAATTAAACTTTTTTATTTTTTTTTTTTGAATTTTGATTTTGAAAATAACTAGTTAAGCATTTATGTGCCTGTATAAAAATATATTTAAAAAGTAGAAACCATAATAATACTATAAATAATACTTGACTAAAGTTTTTGAACATTTCAGATATTTTGTTCGGAAATCGTTTAATACGACTTAGTTTTGCATAAATACCTACATCTATAAACTGAAACAACACAACACTTTTAACGGCAGCCTAATTTGAACATAGTTAGGCAATGTTTGATGGATCCCAAGCGTATTTCTCAGGGCTAAACGAGCTCAGAATGTCCATATCTTCAGCGGGAATTGTAAAATTCAAATCTATATTTTCGATTACATGGCTCTCGGACCTGGCTTTTGGAATGATGGCTATGTTTTGTTGAAGAGCCCACTTTAGCAGAACCTGTAAATTGAGTCACATATATTATCGTCATTTCTTTAATGATTCTTCGCCGATTACCTGTGCCGGTGTTCGTTTCAGTTTCTCCGCTATTACCTTTACTTTGGGATCTTTAATTAAATTAAGATTTCCCGTTCCACCTAACGATGAATATGCTTGCAGCAAAATGTTTTCTTGACGACAGAAATCCAGAAGACTTTGTGGATGGTAATGTGGATGCCATTCGACCTATTGGAGAACAGATTCAGATATCGAAATGTTTCAAAGACGGCTCATTGTACCTGATTAACAGCAGGCTTAACACCGTGATCATTCGCAAGCAGCTCTTTTAAATGTCTAACCAGATAGTTTGAGACGCCGATGTTTCTAGCTAGACCATCTTTTACCCCTTTCGTCATTTGTTTCCAGCTTTCATCTCTCAATCTGAGAAAATGTTTTTCGATTTGCAAAACCACGCTCACGCGTAAATGGAAGGTAAAACCTACCTAGAGTTATTGGGATTTGCAGATTCCATTTTGCTACCTGGCCAATGAATTAAGTATAAATCAACATAATCGCAATCGAGCTTCTTAATCGATTCCTTCAGGGAATCATATGCTATTTCTCCTTGATCATCAGGAGCTGGAAGAAATGACTGAATATTAATTTGCCTGTAAATGTATCAAAGCTGCTTTCTTACACAATTTCGTAGTAATCCAGATATCTTGCCTAGTCAAATTGTACTTTGGCAGTAACTCTTTTAGGGCTTTGCCAATATCCTCCTCATTTCTGTAAACTTTGGCTGTGTCTATAAAAGCAATTAATTAATGAAGCCCAATCGCTTTGGCCTACCGCAAAGCAATCATAGTAAATACCTATCAGACGATATCCTGCAGCTAGAGCATAATCCAGTACATCACGAATCAGTTCTGTGCCCCTAATTTGATATGTTCCAACTGGAAATTAATTTTAACATAAATTGTGAACAAATGAAGAAAACTACGAATTTAATTAAAATTTAGAAAACGTTCAAAATCCACTTGAACATAACGCTGCCTTCATGTTTTCCGCCCCGTAAAGAACGCTCATTTGTACATCATTCTAAAGAGAAATAAATGGCCTTTTTAGAAAGTGAACCATGGATGGGGAAATGTTGGCAGTTGTCTCAAAAAATGCTTGAATTCATTCATAATTCATTAAGATTTGCGTGGTTTTTTTTGGGGTTGCAAAATCCACTTGAACATGACGCTGCTTTTTTCGAAGTTTCTCAAGAACCATTCGAGCCACAGAAGTCGTTTTGGCATCGTTGGATAGAGAATTGAAAAGTCGATTCGGTCGTAACAACGTGAGTGAGGAAATTCGAGTAGTTTTGACACAGAAAGCTAAATTTGAATATCAGACACTTAGGTGCAAGATTATGCCAAAATTTCATGTTTTTCGTCCCGTTTTCGCTCATATCTCGGAGACAAAATGAGCAAGAACGCTCATTTGTACATCATTCTAGACTGAAATGAATGGCCTTTTTAGAAAGTGAACCATGGATGGGGAATTGTTGGCAGTTTTATCAAAAAATGCTTGAATTCAAGAAGTTTTAGATTTGCGTAATTTTTTTTTGAGTTGCAAAATCCACTTGAACGTGACGCTGCTTTTTTCGAGGTTTCTCAAGAACCATTTGAGCCACATAATTCGTTTTGGCATCGTTGGATAGATAATTGAATGGGGGGGGAGGGTGATGACCCCCATGACCCCCCCTGGATCCTCCCTTGACATGAAAACGTGATTTAAAAATGTTGTGTACTTGCTAGGGGGAAACCCGAAGGAGCTAGCAACTTTTTTCAGATGACTTTTTAAGCGGATCGGTATATTTTTACTATAAAATCCGAGTCAGTATTTGACTGAAAATGAAAAAGTAAAGGTAAATCCTGAATTCTGTATTTTTTGTTTTCTGCGATTCACATAATTTTAATTTGCCATCAAGTGTGGTGACTAGTTGCTAGCATACATATCCCGTAAAAATAATATGAATAATAAAATACTTATTTTTTTTGAACACTTGTAAAAAATATTTCGAATTTCGTTAATTTTAGCCCAGATGTAGCTTAATATTTTTTCATTTAGAATTAAGCGCTGAAACTGATTTAATCAAACAAATAAAAAACATTATTTGCAAAATATACACGTTTAAAATTGTAAATGACTGTATTGTTTTTAAATAGAAATATTCCTTCATTCATTCAAGTGACTAAAAGAACTGTTCACGCTCCACTCTGACAATAGACACTACTGGTAGAGCCTACATCCAGATTGGGGTTAGCTTTGTTAAATACGAATTAATTTCGACTCAAATAATACATTATGATACTTACAACCCACTAACGGCATCAGATCACCACTTGCTAGTTTAAAATTCATGTTTTTCGCTAAAATTTCGTCGCCCATTATTCCACTTCCGAACGCCACGAACGTCAAAAAGACAAATAAAAAAGACTTGGTGGACATTATTCCGGTCGTTGGCTTTTTAGCGCGAATGAAAATACTTCTACTTTGCAGCCGGCTTGTTGGCTGAAGAAAATACCAATGCTGTTGATCCGATTGAATATTCTTTTATATGCTGGCTGTTTTCAAAGCAGAAGGCTTTCAAGGCTAAACTGTAGTTCCTCAGTTTAAAATCGTCGCTATTAACCATTCATAATTTACATAATAAACCAGTTTGCGTGATTGTTAGATAAAGAAAATTCAATTGTCGGTCAAGCGAAGAATTGATGTTTACCTTTTGTGAAGATCACGAGGAAATTTGCGGGTAACATGGGCGGGCAGCAGTGTTTTATTTTAATTAATATTCTTTAAATTTGTTTTTCTGGTCTCCATCTCTCTTATTACCTCAGTTTTTTGTTTGTTGTTGAACACGTTTTATTAATATACACCCTGAAATTGTGTTTGAAAACGGTTGAAACGGTTTGAAAACGAGCAAAGTCTCCTCTATCGAAAGGCACAAAAACCCGCCTATTTCAGCTAATCTGGATTTTGATTAATCATTTTTTCAAAAACATTTTATGGATTAACTTTTTAAATTTTTTTGCGAAACATCAGGGCTAAAAGTCGCGATTCAAGCACTAATAGCAAAAGCCTGCAAATATCATAAAACATCAAATGGAGTAAAATGAACAATTTGCAGGCGCACCACTGATATTCGTCTTTATTATTTGCATAAAATTAGTTACGTGTGCTGTTTTTGCAAGTAGGAATACGTATTTATATTATTATATGTAAATAAATATTCGCGCTAGTTAACGGTAACATGGCACACAAGCAAAATATCTTCTAGGCGTTCGTTCATTAGTGGTAAGGTTTTTATGTACAAGAAGTCGTTTTATTAGAATAAACGCGAGCTGAAATCAGCAAACCGTTTTTACTTGAAAATGTTTAAGTTTCATGAAATTATTTACTTATGACACCTCTGCAGTGGGCGCCACTCAAAGTGAAAACTTCTTTAAGTAATAAATAATAAACTTTGTTAACTCACCCGTTTGAATTATAAGCTCGAAAATGCAATAAACTGGCGAAATCCGCAAATCTACTAATAAAACTTATTAATATCTTACCGTTGCTTTGTCTTCAAATTCCTGCAAGTCATCAAAATCTCCAGATGAATATGAATGATGAACTCCAAAATGTCCAGACACTTTCAAATCCGCACTTTTAGGTTCGATTTCTTTACTCAACATGACGGTGTTGACTGACAGCAAACGTCACAGTGTTTTCAATAAAGAAAAAACATTGCGTTTCTTTGCTAAAATCGCCCTACGATGAGAAAAATGTCGCAAAATGGAAAGGAGAAACTAATTTTGCTGAAAATCACCAATTTTCCCCCCAAAATTGAAAAATTTCTCACACTTTACGAAGTTTCCACTGACCGAACCACGCACTGTGTTCCCAATCTGCCATTAAGCAACAGACTCGTTGTCGGAACAAAATGACATTAAAATCTACATTTTTTTGACAGCCAATCACTCAACAACAGTCAAAGTGAATTGCACATAAATTTATAATTAAATTTTTAGATAAAATTCCTTATCAGGTGGGCTTTTTAAGGGCGTGCAGTATATAAAACATACATGTCCATTGAAGAACCGATGGCAACTTGGGGTAAAACTGAGTAAGTACAAAATGAAAAAAAAAACACTTAAAAAATAGTTTGTTTATTACCACTGTGGTAAATACTTAAATATATTTACATCCACCCAGTTAATCTTTAGAAATTGAACAATGAATCGTAAAAAATCACAACACTACCTGACGAAATTTATAAATAAGAGCGTATCTATTGTAAACCGTTTTACAATCATCTCATGTTCACGCACAAAACACACATTATTATTATTATTATTTCAACAGAGACAAAATATTCCAAAAATCACAGTTTTACAACTCGTGACTTATTGGCAATTGCCACTAAAATTTCACGCAAGTAAAGATATTCGCCTGCAACTTTTTACTTGCTGCCCAGTTCCCAAATTGCGCCGAAATGTGAATGAATATCAATGGATCTAATCGGAAAAATGAGCGTATAATGTACAAAATGAAAAAGTCAATTGTATCTGATTTTGATTATGAACATTGAAGGTGTTCAGCATTTCAGTCGTCTGGTATTATTCCGATCCAGCGAGGCGTTTTCCCTTGCGTTGTTTTGGGCTTTGTGTCTTTGAAGGTCGTGGGGACTTTTGCAATTTGTCTGTAACAAACGTTCACTATTGCAGGCACTTTATTGTCCTAGATTAAAGCAAATGTTGCTTGATGACTTACTCAGACTAGCCAAAGTTTGGGCTGGCAACCAATCGTAATCGACATTGTTGGGGTTGTTGGTGCCAGTTTCAACAGGGGTGGCTTTTTTGGCCGGCCTCTTCTTACCCACAGATAGAAGAGTTTGCTGACCGATCACCAATAGTAGAACAACACTGGCAGCGAGGAAGACATAGAGGAAGAAAGTTTCGCCATCGAAACCTAATTCGCACCTATTGTTAGTTTTCCACATCAAAGTCTCCCTCTCAAACGACTTACCTTCATCTAACTCTATAATTTGCACGGTTTCATTAAACACAGCCTCCTGAAATCCGTTGCCAGCGGCATCATGGTAAGCCAAGTTAATATGCAAGCCAAACGGCCTGCCAGCAAAACCTACAGAGGGCACGAACGTGTATTGGAATGTGCTTTCTTCGCTGGGTTTGACTATTGAATTGTAACCGACAGCTGAGAAGTTCTGCAATCAAAACCGTTGATTTAGTAAAAGAAATGGACAACTATGTAGCAGCCCAACAGACCTGGATGTAATAGTTGAAATCCATAGGATATCTGAATGAAGCCTCGATATATTCAACGACAAAGTCCTGCAGGCCTTTGTTGCGGAAGCCCACTAAAAATTCAACCGGAGCTCCACCTACGAGCTCTGGAAAGAAGAAATAATGCTTTAGATGGCGGAAAAACAACTGATTGAAGATTGACGACTTACCTAATTGCGAAGCTCCAAACGTGCTCGGTTTGGTGAACAATAATACCGTGTCTGCATCCGAGGAAGCTTTCGAAAGAGACTCGTCCTCCTCTTCTTCAGGTTCAGTAGCAGTAAGATCGCCGTCTTCAACTTCCCCTTCAACGTCCGCCTCCTCTTCATCGATGGGATCTTCTTCAGCAAATGCAACCATTTTCCCTAAATACATACTCAATAGTAACAAATATGTGAGGAATTGCCTAATTGAAAAATGAGCACTATATTCAATATCCATATGTTTCATGAATATTGTTACGCTTGGATAACAAAAGGGGGTCAAGAAAATTTGTCAAATCTACATGAAAACATGAAACGGGAATTGGGGATCAATTAGATTTGAAGGACTCTGAAGGGTACAATTTTTATTTAATAAATAGTACGGGAAAGGCGGTATGCTGGACGGATGGGGATTTGTGCAAAGATTTAAGACCGCAGATAACCTCAACATATGTTTGCTGCAATTGCAGCAAATGCCCATTTCCATGCAGAGCGCTTGTAATTTGGGAAGACTTGTTGATAATTAAGGCCTGTTTCTCACAAGAATACCTGCCACGTAGTTTGGAAATGAGGGTAGATGGTTCTTTAAAAAGTTGAAAGTATGTGCCACTTACCGCTATCAACCATAAAAATCACGGCCGGTAACACTAACAGGGAGAATAAGAAGAAATATTTCATCTTGACTCTGGGTCCTTTTCACGGCAAATAACAAGCAAAAGTACGAGAAGAAGTGAACTAAATAAGATACCCGAAATTTTTGCTTAACCTTTTGACGGGTAAGTGACAGTTTTCCAGCCACTCGTTTCGACGTGGAAGCAAAAGACACATGGAACGCCCACTTGTGATGACGATTACAAACGGTAGCATTTACAGCGCGAAAGGATTGCCGTAATTTGCGTTTTGTATCCAATGAAAGGAAATTTGGTAAAAGTGATATTTTTTAATTTTATTTGATTAGATTGCAATTTTTCGTATTATTTTAAAAATATTTTCTCAGGTTGTACATTACATATAAACCGACATTGACCGTCCCCGTAATGCACCCGTTCTTCGAGCGATCGTAAAGTTGAAAACTGTTTAGTTATTTTCCATTTTTTATGAGATTTTAACATCAATTTCACAGCTTACTTTTTGTGATTGTAATATGATAAATTATTACAAGTATGCAGCTAATGTTCAATTTTTATTTATCGACAATAAAAATACCTAAATATAGAAAATTACTGGGTATTTACCCAGATCACATAGTGTAGTGTAAATATAAAATATACCTACATATTATTATTTTATATTATTTCTATATTTTCTTGGGCGTGGTTGCAAGAATCACGTACTAACCTTTTTTTGTACTCTCTGTACTGTCAACTGTTTCGCTTCTAACTTCTACCGAGTTCGATAATCTTTTCGCCTCGTTTTTACTTGTTCCCTTCACCAGGTTTCATTTATAAATTAGTCAAACCCGTTGAAAACAAACCGAAATTATGGCCAAATTCGATTTAACGTCGAAGATAGGACAGTACTTAGACCGGCACTTAGTGTTTCCACTTCTGGAGTTCTTGTCTGCTAAAGAGGTGAGGCACACATTCTTGGCAGGTTAGGAGTCCCTCAAACATACTTTAACTATGCAGTTAAAAGCATGTTTTCCGCTAGCGTTTTACTGTTATTAAAGAGTTAGATACCAAATTAATTGGCCTTCTCGGGTTGCAATTCAATCCTCGATTTGAAGGTGAAACTGAAAAGTTGTGTTGTGTTGTGTACATTGTTAAACATTCTGTACTTGTACAACTTACTTTTGTTCTATTCAACAAACAATATGAATTCGTTGCTCTAACAAGTCGAGAAGAATTGGAGGTGTCAACATTTAGTTTTAATTAAACTCTCAAAATAATTGTATACATAAATACGTTTTTCCCTTCAGAATTATGATGAAACGGAAGTTCTGAAAGCCAAATTGGATATTTTGAGTAAGACAAACATGATAGATTATGCGATTGACATCAGGAAGCAGTTGTACCCGAGAGATGAGGTTCCTGAAGACCTGAAGCAAAGAAGACAGCATGTAGTTGCTCAGCTGCAAGAACTGCAGCAGGTAGTCGAGCCTATTTTGCAAATTATGGCAAACGAAGACATCATGAAAAATATGGAGAATTTGCGGGATTCCAAAACTTTGATTGCTTATCTGGAGAAGGAAGTTCGGGTGAGTCAATTTTCCTTTATTTAGGTACGATATGCTGAGTTGAGAAGGTGCTAAAAAGTGCATTTTATTCAAAAGGATCATTTTCATACAGTAAAAGTAAAAAAATAAACTTGCGTTTATCCAAACGGTGCGGGTCCAGAGCGATCCCTCACTTCCAAAATGTTCTCCAATGTCAAGGGAAATTTTAAGGGAAAGAGCGCGATTTTTATATAGGTAGTAGAACTTACGCTACAGTTAATTTTAAAGCGAGTGCTGGGTGGCTTAATGAATTTAAAAATCGATATCAGATCAGATAAAGTTTTTATTATTTTCCTTTCAGTTTGATATGGACATGATCAATTCCCTACACGCTCTTGCAAAATATCGTTACGAATGTGGTAACTATTCAGTTTCCACCTCTTACCTTTACTTTTGCATGCTGGTGCTGCCTCCAAGCGACAAAAATTATTTGAGCGCTCTTTGGGGAAAATTTGCTTCCGAAATCCTGGTTCAGAACTGGGACTCTGCTTTGGAGGACTTAAACAAACTGAGAGAGCACATTGATAATAGCCCCCATCAGTATGGAGGTAAGAGTAGTTTCGACTTTTAAAACGATTTGTGATATAAATTGATAAAACCAGAACTAACTATGCGTGTTTTTTTCTTAGGAAGCATGCTGAATTTACTGCAGCAAAGAACATGGCTTATTCATTGGTCATTGTTTGTATTTTTCAATCATGCGATGGGCAGAGAACTTATCATTGAAATGTTCTTATACCGTCCTCATTACTTGAATGCTATTCAAACTATGTGCCCTCATATTTTGAGATATTTGGCTACGGCGGTGATCATCAATAGAGGCAGAAGGTGAGTTTTAAATATTTTTTTCTAGTAGAGTGACGTTCTATGATATCCTGAGAAAACCCGGGAAACGTTTCTGAATGTAGCCTTTTCAGTCAAAAATATTATTGAGTTCTAGGTCGGCACTGAAAGATTTAGTTAAAGTCATTCAGCAAGAAAGTTACACCTATCGGGATCCCATAACTGAATTTTTGGAACATCTGTATGTAAACTTTGACTTCGACGGTGCAAGGCAAAAGCTACGAGACTGCGAAACTGGTAAGTGTGTGTCACTATCATCTTTTATCTTTACATATTCTAAAGATAAAAAGTAGTTGATCTGTGACTGGCCAAACCTCTAATTATGATCTTTTAATTTACACGATTTTTGGGTTTGGCGTCCAAAAAGTTTTTGGTCGATTTTCTACGATTGTTCGCGCGAAAACATGAAGATTTCAGATTCCATGTATGCTTGAAATGTGCGTAATTGATTGTATTTCTTTGGACACTGGTTGAATTAGCATATTTCGAGTGTAAAATTGATTTCGACGCAGTGAATCCTCGTGAATTGAGTTGGCTGCATGCAGCGTACTATACGGCAATCCAAGAACTTTAATCGTGTATTCTTTGGCCAACTCTTGCAATAAAATATCCAATTTCTTTACGGTCTTCTGCGAAGTTTACTTAACTTAATATTTTGTTTATCGTATGCGCTTTTAGTGCTTTTCAACGATTTCTTCCTGATCTCTTGCCTCGATGAATTCGTTGAAAACGCAAGGTTGATGATCTTCGAGACTTTCTGTCGCATTCATCAATGTATCAGCATTGGAATGTTGGCTGAAAAGTTGAACATGAATCCGGACGAAGCTGAATGCTGGATTGTAAATCTGATCAGAAATGCGAGGTCAGTGTTGCACCGAGTTATGTTAAGCCCGTAGGTTTTAACGTTGTGTATATTTTTGAACAGATTGGATGCAAAAATTGATTCAAAATTAGGCCATGTTGTTATGGGAGCGCAACCCATGAGTCCATACCAGCAGCTAATTGAGAAAATCGATTCTTTATCAGTGAGGTCGGAAACACTGTCTGCTTTGATTGATAGAAAACTGAAAGCAAAAACTGATGTAAGTTATAAAACCGTCGCATTTGCATTTCAGTGTTAATAAATCTATTTTTTTGCAGCTTCGTTGGGGACCTCAGGAATTCTGATAAGGCTAAACGGTTGATTAAATATAATTTTATATTTAATTGATATAATAAAGGTTTTCTAATTCTGTCGTTGCTTCATTTAGTTGACAGTCGTGTGCTTGTACTTAACTTCTGTCGTACTCTCAGAATTTATAGGAACACTAAAACTGAAAACACCCGATCGATCGATACTAAAATTTCATAATTTACAGTTGAATGCTCCCCGAAAATGAGTTGTTCTGGTAATGAGCTAACGCGAAATATTCTGTCGGGATCGAATTGAAAATCCGCCAAGTGCAAAGTTTTCAATGGTACACCCTGTAGATGATCTACGGTAGTTGAATTAATTTCCTTTCACACGTGAGCGGATTTTAAATAATGATTTCTGGTAAAACATAATTTGTTAAATTTATGTTACCAGTAGCTTTTAGCCGGGTTTCGCGAATTATACACCGTTTTTTATTGGGTGATTTAAGTGCCACAAAACCTTTCCGTGGCTTGCAAAGTTTACGAAATTAGTGAATTTTACGTTTCACCAACTTGTGTGAGCGAACAGGAACATTTTTTTCTTGTAGATGTTGCACAAACATTTCAGGTTTTGTCGTTGTAACTCTATTTAATTTGGGTTGTAATAAAATTATTACACTGCAACATCTTTCAGGTGTTTTTCGTACTTGTTGAGCGTTTGGCAAAATTATCCGCTGCTTTCGACTTTCCAAATGGGCCATAATTTAGTGGCCGCTAAAGTCCTGCACATAAAAAACATCGAAACTTTCAGAGGACAACGTTATTTTTATTGCGGTGTTTGCGAAATTAAGTCATCTTTTCAGCGATGATTCGTTTTTACGATTACATCGATGTCAGAAAGTCCAATATTCGGCGAGTATTCTGTGCAAAACCCCCAATTTGCTGTTAAAATGGCTTTAAAATATTCGGCCTAGTTTTGGCTTCAACCGCCAATAGCTTCACAAAACGAGTGGAAATTTAAATGATTGATATACAAACACATACATTCATGTGAATAAAAACTAAATTCGTAAAAACAAGCAACCATTTGAGCAAAAAATAGAATTAGGATAAGCTAGCGTAAATTAAGGGTTGAGCGCAAATAATGAAATTGAAACCGAAAATCCGACGTTAAGACTAAAATTAGGTGAAAATCTGAAATAACATTCTCGGGGGATATATTTTTAATTAACGGAAAGCCTATTCGATTCAATCCATGTAACCGAATAATCCTATAAGAGTTTTTCCTGTCGTCACACACACTTGTGTGGGTAATTTGATAAATGTGTTTGTTGCCCTTACCGGTCTTTATTTGATATAAGATTGAAAGGTCTAGGCCGCTGTAATTGATGAGGGCGAAAAAATATACAGTGGCCGACCCTTTAAGTGAATATGTTGGTTGTGCCTATTTTCTCTGATACAAAACTATTTCTGTACGTTAATGTAAAAACGCGTCAAACAAGGGGTGAATGTGAATTCTCTTGTTTGCGTAAGCAGTAACACCGCCTGAAAACGCATTGAAAATAATACGAATTTGTTATTAAAGTTTATAAGGGTTGCCTTATTTTAGTACCGGCAAATCTGCAGGTCAAAACACTTCACTTTGGTGGCTAAATTATTGTTTGGGCCACTGTGTACCCGCACTTAAAAACGAATTTGTTTGCCGATAATTAAAGAAACATTATAAGTAGATAAACATTTCAAAAATGGAGAAACAAAATCTAAAGCATATTAGGAAATCTGGGTAAAACATTTTTGTGCCTCAGTGTGTCCAAGTTATCAAAAAACATTAACTGTACTATAAAACTATGAAGCTCCTTTTGCTTGCAAATAAACTGGTCCAAAACTCACTTGCTTCATAATAATATTATGAAACTGATATAAAAGGGAACAAAAAACAAAGAAGTAGTAAAAACACGTTTTGGTTCGCCTATAGTACGACGTCCGCGTTTTCAATGATTTTGGCAGTTTTATATCAATTGGCGAATCGTGCTTTTAACCCTTAGGCACGATTTATAAGGTCCCGTAAGTATCGGAAAAGCTTGAAAAAACGAAGTAAAAGAAAATGTAAACAGTAACTGTTATCTCCAATTCGCCTCCCATAAATCTTCTGTTCAAGGGTTTTTTTGTCTATAAATATATTTCGAGAAGCTGCCTGAATAGAAATTGTAAACAATATATTTTTTACGTTCATTGAAAGTAACACTAATTCGAAGTTATAAGTAGTAAAAGATGCCTGTTTAGGTGCTTGGGTTTATCTCGGCCAATAGATAGCGACCAGCCAAAGTTTTAAATGTGTTTTGTACATAGTTTCACGTTTATAGTATCTTTAATTTCATTTTTTTGTGATTAGTATGAGATGCAATTATATTTCTATGTATCAAAATATTTTTGCAAATGCAAAATGCAAAGCCGAAAATATTCTTCTGTGCCAAATCCATAAAATGCAAGGGAGATGTTGTTGATCTAATTCTACGGGTCAGTAGTACAATGTACGAATTATATGTCAAACTGGAAAAGGGAAAATAAAGCGCAAAATGAGAATAAATACCGCTTTTAGATGATTTAAGGCTTTTGTGCAGCGGCCGTTATGAATAATGTGAAATGTATGATGCTCCGGTTTCATGTCCGATTTCAACAAGGAAAAATGGCTTCTATCGGATTACGCCGCAAAGGAAATTTGTTATTTTTGGAGCAAACAAATTAGTTTTTTGCTGGACACCTCATTTAAGCATTATTAAATTTGCTTTTCCTTTTATTGAGTTTTTGTCCAGGTTTATTGAACTATACGAGGTTTTGCATTTCGTTGGCGTTTTGTGTTATGTTTCCGCTGGCTTCTGAACTTAATTAATTTTTATTCTCAACATGAAGAAGGTTGTTTTGAATGTGACTGATGAATTTGGTTTCAATCGGCGCAAGAAGGTTTTGAGATTTTTAAAACTCCACTTGGAGTTTTTTGAACCGCAGTCCGGATTTTAAAATTTGTTGTTTCCGAAATAGAAGAGTTAAAGGTGCGATTTTTTTCCTTCAAATGAAGAAGGGTGTTTTAAATGTTACTGGCGAGTTTGATTTTAAGCAGAGCAAAAAAAGATTTTTGAGAATTTTTTAAACTCCACGTGGAGATTCTTCAAGCGCAATCTAGACCTCGAAAATTTTTCGTGTCCAAACTAAACGAGATACAAAAGTGATTTTCTTCCTCAATATGAAAAAGGGTGTTTTGAATGTGATTGGTAAGTTTGGCTTCAATCGGTGCTAGAAGAAGTTTTTGCCAATTTTCCAAGCTCCTCGTGGAGATCTTGAATCGCACTCCGGATTTCAAAAATTTGTCGTTTCTAAACTAAAAGAACGAAAAGCTGCGATTTTCTTCCTTAATGTAAAAAATTATGTTTAAAATGTGGTCGGTGAGTTTGGTCTAAATCGGCGCCTGGAAACATTTTTGAAAATTTTTCAATCTCTACTTGGAGATTTTTGAGCGCAGTTCGCATTTCAAACATTTGTTGTTTGTGAAATAGAAGAGTTAAAAGCGCGATTTTCTTCCTTCAAATGAAGAAGGGTGTTTTAAATGTTACTGGCGAGTTTCATTTTAAGCACAGTAAAAAGAGGTTTTGAGAATTTTTTAAACTCCACGTGGAGATTCTTGAAGGGCAGTCTAGATTTCAAAAACTTGTCTTGTCCAAACTAAACGAGATAAAAGAGCGATTTTCTTCCTCAATATGAAGAAGCGTGTTTTGAATGTGATTGGTGAGTTTGGCTTCAATCGGTGCTAGAAGAAGTTTTTGACAATTTTCCAAGCTCCTCCTGGAGATCTTGGAGCGCACTCCGGATTTCAAAAATATGTCGTTTCTAAACTAAAAGAAAGAAAAGCTGCGATTTTCTTCCTTAATGTAAAAAATAATGTTTAGAATGTGCTCGGTGAGTTTGGTCTAAATCGGCGCCTGGAAACATTTTTGAATTTTTTTCAATTTCTACTTGGAGATTTTTGAAGTGCAGTCCGGATTTCAAAAATGTGTTGTTTTCGAAATAGAAGAGTTAAAAGCGCGATTTGCGATACTCAATATGGAAAAGAGTGTTTCTCATGTGATCGGTGAGTTTCGCCTCAATCGGCTTCCAAGAAAAATTTTGAGAATTTTTCAAATCACGTGGAAATTCTTGGAGCGCAGTCTGGATTTAAACATTTGTCGTTCCCAAACTAGACGAGATAAAAGAGCGATTTTCTTACTCTATATGGAAAAGAGTGTTTCGGATGTGATGGGTGAGTTTCGTCCCAATCGGCTTCCAAGAAAATTTTTGAGGATTTTTCAAACCACGTGGAAATTCTTGAAACACAACCTGAATTTAAAAATTTGTCGATCCCTTCTCGTCTCTTTTTTTTTGTTTAAGAAGCTCATAAGTTTAACAACGTTTTTTTTTTGATAACTGTCGTTTTTGCAATAAATAACGGATTAAAACTGTAAGTTCAGAATTAGTCAATTCTGCCCTCCCAGTACTGAAACAGCTTGCAATCATCAAAGTTCGAACTAAATATCTGCATTTGGTTCTAATGTCCACGTGGGGAGAGCGCGCTTGCGTTTGTTCCAAGAGAGTGGAAGCTGGATACTTTAGAAACTCAAAGTTTTAGTGGAAACTCACCCGATCGCAGCGACGGCAGTTTCAAGAGCGGCTGTTTATATCCGCTGAACGCGTAAAATTGCGTAAAGTTTCCAACTTAATGTAGTCCCATTGAGATGCTATTTCTGGTGATGTCAAAAGTATGTACGTATTGTTAAGTGAACACTATTTTCTTAGTGTTTTTGACGAGTTTAAATTTTCCGTCTTGAGCCGTTTGGATGATATGAATTTTTAAACGGCACACTTGCAAGTTAAACTTATGTGCGTCATACGCAGCTAAATTATGAAAATTGTAATCTCGGGGTTTTGTTGCAGAAAGTGATCAATTTGAGCTATGTTTATAACTTTTCAGTCAGTTACTCATATTTCGCCTAAATACTGGAGAAAATATTTGAATTCGACCATTTTATCCAAAAATAAAATCGGAATAATTATGATTCTCCCGATATCCTACAAAACATAAATTTTTTAAAGAACTTTGACCATCAATAGCAAGCGAGACAATTTTTCCTAATGAAACTTGGGTCAGATCGTCTTATATATTTATACCTGATTTTTCCGCTGCTTCTCAAATTCTAGATGCAATTTATCATGGATTGTTTAACTAACCGCAACCACTTTTGCCTGAGACATTTCGCATTTCTGCAATCCCATCTAGGATATATATTTGTAGTTTTTTCGAAGTGAGGAAATAAATCATTTTAGAAAACGATTTCTTGGCAAAAGCGGGTTTTTTATAGTAGGAAATATCATCTCAGATTCGCATGTCATACAGCCTTTTAAAGCGGGTGCCAAAACACTATTTCTTGAATGGTAAACCGCCTGAAAACTTCAATCAAGTTCATACAAGAAATGTATTTTCATGTTTTGTGCACAGAACAGAACATTATGTTTTGATGATTAATTTTTAAAGCCACCTTAACAACAAATTTAAAAAAATCGCCACATAATTAATTCGTTATCAGCTATAAATCTACAGGAGAAAATTGGTTTTAGAAAATATCATTTTTGTGATTATTTCGCAACTAAAACTCAGTAGATCCTCGGGGACTGGGTGATTAATTGAGGATGTCTGAGGTTGTTTCCTTTTAAATAAGTCGAACAGTTGAGGGTTAAAATGGTACAATCAGATCGAAAAATAGTAGCGCAGCTGTAAGAGTTAGAAGACCTTTTACACCAATAAACCGATTTTTCTCTGATTTCTGATATATTTAACTATCACCGAAAGAAGAAAAATGTTGGTTCTGGAGTTTCCCAGAGAAATAATGATGAAACCATGGGCCACTTGTTTATAAATTTGTTTTTCCGCAAATATGTCGGTTTGTACAAAAATATTAAAGAATAATGTGGGGATATAATTGCAATGACTAGGAACGGGGGCGCAATGGAGCACTAAATATTAAATCTCTAAATTTCTCAAGTTAATGTATAAATTTAGCAACATTGTGAGAAAGTTCGGTAAATCCCATAATCCCATTAAAAGCCATCGAATATTTTCATTTACACCAAAACGCAAAGGAACGTCTTAAGAATGGTTTATCGCATTTTCCAAATCTCGCCGCAAGCAACAAAAAAATTTATGACAAAAACAATGATGTGAATTCCGCCCCACACGTGCGTAAGATGCGTGCGGATTGTTGACAATGTTCCATCAATCACCCTAAGGAGGACAAATTTATTTGAAAAGTGTCAAATAAAAACGCAATATTTCCGCTTTCAAAGCCAGTTTGGTTAGTTTTACGATCTACTATACGAAACGGTAAAACTGTCCTCACCAGGCCGCAGCCATTCCATCATTGGCACTAAAAATCATATTTTTCTTTGGGTGGGAAGCACATAAAGATATGTATAAAGTGAAAGAATAAGTGCGGTTTTTTTCACTGTGTTTAGATCAGTAAGACGACATCGAAGCAAAAGAAAAGAAAAAATATTAGCAAGTTTAATAAAGTCAACTAAAACTTCGAATAAAAAAAAATGTTTGCTTGATGTGCGAGTTCTCATAAAACTTCTTAAAACCGCTGATTTTTTAGAAACTATTTGTATATTTTCGAAATAACTAAGTATTTTTAGTATGTGGTTGTTTCGCAAATCCAAGGGACCGTCAGCATTCGTTTGAATAAATCGTTAAGCCAATTCATTTCAGGATTGCGAGAAAATTAATAAGTAACATCTAAATTACAGCACTGTCAGAACGGAATAATAGACGCAGTAATTCCGACGGGAATTATGAGCTTTTAATAACTCGGCGTAAACAACATCAAATAATCCGATCGGCTAATTTACTTTGATAGCTTTTATACCCTGTTTATGAGTTTCAGTTTACTTTGTTTCCGTTATTTGAGGATTGTTATTTTATTGCAGCAGAGTGCGGAAATGTTTTATCTATTAAATAATCACGTTTGTAAGCAATGTTTGTGGACACATGTTTTGGCTGGGCAGATTATTGTGCGATCAAGTGAAGTACTATAAAGCAGTTCTTCATTCCAGTTCAATACGGTGTGCTTTATTTATTCTACTAATGCAATTAATACGGTTTAAAAGATGGCTTTGGACGATTTACGGTACAAATTACCTTCCTTGATTTTGCCGATTTAACTTCAACTGTTGCTTTAAATTTCGAAAAAACGCAACGTTTTAACCGAAAGCTCCATTGTATCACCTGAAAAGAAAGAAAGAAATCCGTAGGGTTACATAAACTTAGTCTAAAAACCAGTTATTTGATTGGAAAGAAAAATAAATAGAGAACTGAATAAAACTTTAATTTTTTCTCGAAAAACCAAACTGAGTTCAAGTTCGGGGTTTATAGATTAATAATCCGTCATACCTGCTTTCTGCCAACGGGCGCGCCATCCTCTATTGTCTCAAACCACACACTACACACTTGAAAATTGAAAGATGGTTGATTTTCTTGGGAATTCGGTCTGGGCAGTGGTGAAGAAGAAAAAGGAAAACTTTTTAGCTACCAGCTAAAGGTAGCTAATTTTCTGCTTCAAACTTCTGCAGATAATCAGGCGGATCATCAGGATCAGGATAATCATAAACGAAAAACCCACAAAACTAGCTCAAATATTCCCTAGCTTTTGCCTGTGAAAATTATCTTCAACTTTCACGCGGAAAATGCGACTGGTCATAAAAAATGGCTCAGAATCAACAGCAGAACATCCAAATTACTCAGAAGACCAAGACTAAATAGTGCTTTTTTTTGCAGACGCCAGGCGACAAAGGAGCCAAAAAATAGTTCGGAAATAATGACTTTTGATCGAATCTACCGTTGATGATCAGTGCCACAATGTCCATGCTATATTCGAGTGATCCATCGGAAAATGTGTTGTGTTCAAATGATTCGTCAGCCAACTGTGCACCATGCGTTTGGACGAACCTCTCTGCGCCGCCCGCCAGCATTTTGGGTACGTAAACAAGAGTAAAAATTGGATAAAAGGGGCGGAAAAATTTTTTTGGACCGTTTTCAATGGTTGTTTTGGTGAGGGAATTTTCCTCGGAAAACAACTCCAATAACATAATCACCAGAGCATGAATCTCGTGCCAACAACATTTCAGGCAGGGGATCCAGCTTTCAAGTCATCATACGTTTCATGTAAAAATGAGCAAGAATTATCATTTTTACATCAATCCCGAGCGAACTAAATGGCGTTTTTAGAAAGCGAACCATCGATAAGCAAATGTTGGCAGTTTTCTCAAAAAGTCTTGATTTCAAGTTTTAAATATACATTTTAAAAATATCTGAAAAATGTCTTTGCAACAGTTTAAACGGGCTCAATTGATTGTTTATCTTACCTTCTTGCAAATGCAGAACTTTTCACTTTTTTTACACTTATATTTTAACATACGAAAAAACAGGATTATAATCCGCGATTTTCAAGTATAGTAAGTTACTCAAATTCGTATCATAAAAATGCCTCAAAAATTATTTAGACTCAAAAACGCTTTTTTGGCTTCGCTTACTCTATCTGTAGTGTCTACGAGTTATATTCTTGGCACGACCGTGTAAGCACAGACACTTTTGTTCCACTATTCTGTTATCGAGTGCTTCTGTACGAAATTAGGTATTCATTCCCTTTCGTCGTCCGAAACACGTGTCCAAAATGGTTGAAGGTGTTGTGTTGTTTTGCAAATTTAATTACAGTTCAAACACGAAAATTGCACTTAAAAGGGTCGAAACGAGCAGAAAGTTAGGAGAGGACCCGAGATATCGTGAAACTAGACGCACACGTCAATTAATTGAAATAATTTAAAAATTAAAATACGTTTAAAAATTAAGATTTTTATTTTTTTGCATCTAAATTTTCCTTTATGATGATTTTTGCCTGGGAATGTATTTCAGCTGGCAAAATTGTACTTTTGTAAAGCCTGCCAGGAAACCAGCCAATTCATGTTTTGCTCTTTTTCAAATAAAATTATCATAAATAATATTTATTTAGCGCGGAAAAGTTATCGACCTAATCGGTCTTTCGGCCCTTGCATTTGCACACAGAGTGGGCAAATGAAAAGTTTTTACACCGATTTTTCAGTTGTTGCGTGAAAACCCAGAAAACGCTCTTAATATAAATCACAATCATTTGGATCATGTTAAAGGTTTCATCAATCAATCATGATTTTCATGATAATTATAAACTGCCATGCAATTCCTTAAAATCTTGGAAAATGTTTGAAAATTGTATGCAAAAATTTAATTAAAAATTCAAAAACAGCCCAACAGGAGCTTTTTCCATTTGAGCTCCACATGAAATCCTTTCAAGCTATAAAAAATTTCCAGCATCATTCCAAGTTGATAGGAAATTTAAAAAAATGCTTCTACAGTGATGCGTTCTTCTAGAATGTAGACTTATTGAAAAATGTAAACTAATAAAATAAACCGCTTAGTTTTGATCGGTTCACCCTGTGCAACGAACTGTTGTTTGCGCAATTTACGAAAAACTAGTTATTCAAGAAAATATATTTGATTCAATATTAATAAATAACTTAATGATCAAAAAGTCCGAGCAATTAAGCTATTTTGATGCAAAACGAGTAAAGTGAAGCAATTTAAATCAACTTCTAGAATGACTTCTTAAGGATAAGCGTCTGGACGGGAAAAAATTACGAAGGGACAAAACAGAAAGCTTCTCCTCGAGACTTTTTTCGATGGCTCTTTGTCGAAATGGGGAGTTTTTTTGCGGAAACGCCTGCGGTCGCCGAACTAAAAAATTAAGTGGACCGCATCTAAATACTCTAAATAATTTATTATTGTCTGCTACTCATATCAAATGGGTTTGAAAAATATTATTTCCTATGGAAAACCGTTGGGATCTACAGAAATCTACCCTTAAGGTCATGCGGCTCGTATAATTCACGGATTATTTAATGTACCCCACTCTCATATTGTTCCAACCCAAATCATAATAACCACAAAGTAAAATATATTGCTTACGTGTCTGGGATTACTAGCCAATTATAAGCTATAAGCTTGACAAAGCTAAAGTAATTGGACATTTTATGTGATTTAGTTGGATTTGATTCGACGTAAAAAAAATTATGTGGAGGAAAGCAAATTTTCCCAAAAAGATCTCAGGTACAAAGCAATAATCCCTTTTTAAGTGATTTGTTTTTTCGCAGTTCTTGATTACAAGCGAAGTCTGAGCTGGACTTTATAAGCACATGATACGTTGTGGCAGCCACTTTGAGACCAAAACGTTCGGGACAACAAGTGTAATTAAAACAAACCTCAAAGAAATTTAAAATTCGCTTTTTCAAAGCCCCATCTTCAAGTTGGCGAAAGCGTAGCGAGTTTGGCGTGCATAATTGGAAAATAATACTCGGAAAGTGTCGCAATATTTCGAAAAACTTGTGTTTCGAGTTGTTTTCATTCTGTGCTCCTAAATTGATTCTAGTGGTTCTTCGAATGGAATTTTGAGCCTTTATACACAAGAACGAGATCAAAAGAGGTCATTTTTTCAAAGATTTAAGAGGAATCCGCTTAGATCTTCAAAGATCCACAAAACTTCAACCGAAAGGAGCGACTGTGCAAATAACGGTTTCAAAAGGGAAACGTTTGAAACGAAGGCAATGACTTGTTTAGAGTTCAAGTTAAATGCTTGCTTATTTACAAAATTTATTCAGCTTTTAATTTATTAACAAATAAATTTTTCTGGTGTTAAATTCGTTATTAATTTACTTTTTCACAATGGCATTATTTTTGCATTTTTTCCGTTTTACAAATAGACGAAATCCACAATGCGTTCAGGGTGGTTTGAGAAGGCAATAAACGAATTATTTAACAAAGTCTAGAAGGCAAACGGGCTTTTTAGTATTGTATTTAGAAAAAAAAGTTATTACTTATAAAAAGTTTTACATGATCTAAGCCTACTAGTTGAATTAACTAGTTATCAAATAATTAATTTTTCCAGGGGTATGCGAGGTTTGGAAAAAAATATGAATTTTGCCCCCGAGTAAAGTAGAGCTAAAGCCCTAAAAAAGTTTTATTTTTTTAAACTGTCTACAACAACAGTTAAGAATTTTTCCAAGCGATAAAAATCAGTCGTTTTGACTTGCACACAATCGATGAATTTGCTGCTCGTTTATGTTGGCTTAAAAGAAGGCGTGGATGGAAGTTTTCATCGAAAATAACAAAAAAACACGCCTATTTAGCATATTTATTTGCTTGCGGCCATAAACAGATGCCAACCACTAGCTACAACGAAGGAGGATAAACAATGGGAATAAAGGGATTTGGAAAATACATAAATACTAAAATGTGTGTGACTAAATCACACCGCGTTAGTTCTCAATCCTGTAACAGCACATTAAGTAGGCATAAAGAACACCTGTGAATTCTACATTTGGAGTCTTCTTAGGCATAGTATTAAAGACAAAGACGAATTCAAGTTTGTATAAAGGATTAGTTAAAATTTGCTTGATTCCTCCTTATGGAGTATTTTAAATACTTGATACTTCTAAACTTGAATAAAACTATCCCGATACCAACTAGCTTCTTGAGAAACTCACCCCATCTCCAGGGAGCATAAAAGGTCTAAAAAATAAGTGCAAAGAAAACTTCAAGATTGGTAGAAGTTAAAAAAAAAACATATTTTGTAATCCGAGCTGCATTAATGAAGAACTGCGACATGTTAACAGCCCAGCTCCGATGTTAAAACTAGTTCTAGAATTGTCCATATAATTAAACATTCAACAAATCAAATGAAGAATAGTTAAATTTGGACTAATTTATCCCATGATTCCACTACAAAGATGCTCGATTAGTTCAACATAATTCGTGGCAAATAAATTCTCCTATTGAGTGGCTGGTTATAGTTGAACCGAATATTGAAGTAGTTTCGGTTCCGCGAATTCGGTATGAAATTAGAGTGCCATTCATAAGCGACCGACAGTTGGGAATCAAAGCGTGATGTTCTGATACCCATAGAAAGGAAAACGTGTTGAAACGCAAACTAAACTTTTCGAAATCATGATATCGGCTTGCGAAAGTGTACTCGTAAAATATAAATTTAGTTCTCATAAGTTTTTCCTTAAAGTTTTTCCAAAAAGTGAACCGTTTTCATAATAGAAATTATAATTCAAATAATTATGACTTCGGTATAAAATCGTTCAAAATGCACAGGCTGTTGATAACTTTGATAAATGATCAAAATTTGAACTATTTCTATTGACTACAACTAGTTTTCTTTAATTCGAAACCCCAATTTTTTTACTCAAATTTCCTTCGCATCTTTTCTGCATATTTTGATACCAATTTGTTCTGGATCCATACGCGATAGTTTAAGAAATAAATCGAATTTAGTGAAGTTGCCCAACTATTTGTTCGCTTCGATTCTAGATTCGGGCATGGATACGGACAATGTAAGGAAAATGAATTCTCTATTGAAGAACGAGTAGAAATAGTGCTTATTTTGGTGGAAAGCACTATAAATCTAGTACTGGCTACACAAATTCATCGAGCAAAAAGACCCCAAAACTCACCGATTTTAGAAAATTATTATAACAGTTTGAAACAACAGGCAAGTTGAATAATGTCTTTGGTTTCCACATGAAAAGTGCTTACTGCCAGGAAAATGCCAAGAGTATGCGTTTACTCTGGCGCGAAAGGATTGCGGTAGTTTACGTTATGAATCCAATACAAAAAATATCCATTAAAAGTGTATTTGTGAAATGTATTTCATTAGATCAATTTTTTTTTCACTCATTTTCAGTATACTTTATTCAACCGTAGAGTTGAAAACTTATGCTAAACTAGTATTCAATTTTATATGAGTTTTAACATCAATTTCACCGTTTACTTTTTGCGATTAAATTATCACAAGTTTTATTAATGGAGGCCAAACTTTCCCGGCACAACACGACATAACGGTTAAGGACTCTATGCACTTTGAAATATGAAAACATACAAATCGAGCATTTTTCCTCATTGTTGAAAGAATATAAACACCCAACTGTTTTTGAATCCTTTACATTACAACTGTTTGTTTTCTCAATTTGTTGTCGATTTGTGCAAAGTGTTTAATACACATTTCATCATTTCCATTCAGTTCTCATTCCATCTCAGAAAGTAAGGCCTTCTTGTTTGTTTTGCTCCGTCCCGGCTTTAAAAACATCTAAGAATTTTATATCAATTTTTTAGAGGCGGATTGGAATCATTATTTAATCGCTGCTGTAATAAATTCACGTTAAGACCCTAGTTTTGGACAGGTTAATGTTGCCAGACGAGACGCAAATCCGGGGGGAAACAATAAGGGAGTTTTCTTGCGTTGAGAGAGATTTTAATGTTACCACCATAAATGTCGAATCAATGCCATATTGAAGAGCGCATTTGGTTGATTGCCAAAAAATCTTCTTGCCATTTTAATTTTTTTCTGCTCATTTTAATGGTTGGTTGATCATCTAGCAAAAAAGAAGAAAAAGTTACTTTGCTTGACACAATTTTTTTTCCATTTAAGAATCTACGCGAAATTTGCCATCGTGTCCTCAAAACAGGCAATTGGCTGATTTGTATGGAAAAACGATCCGAACGAATATACATACATCAACTTAATAGAATAAAAAATTCCGAACAAAAGATTGACTGCTTTTTCGACCCTCCCGCATTCAATTCAAAAGCGTTGAGGGAAAATCGAAGAAATCTTAGCATTCGGGTCGTGTTGATGGGAAGAATCAATGAATGAAACGTTGGAATCCTTAAAAAAATAGCATTTTGAATCTTGCATCGGGTGCAAACATGAACATTTTAATCCTCCTGGTTCTAATTGAGTATTATTTAGAGGGCAAAGGCGATCTGGGATTATTTTTTTGGTGGCTGAGGCTTGGAAAAAATGTTCTCTTACACACAGGCGTAAATTTTAAATTGAATCAGGAACTTTAACGCTCAACACTATTTTACTAAGTCATATTTTCACATTTATAATCAGTCTGCGACGTATTTATTAAGGACCACTCTATATATTTAATTTGCTTTTCTTTTCACGTGAGGTTTGATTTTCATTTTTTAATGTTTGACTTTACTTTTATGTATTTTCTTGTAATGGTAGACGTTTTAAAACTCTCTTACTCAGTTTTCTGTCTTCTGATGAGGTTGTTTCATTAATTCTGCGTAAGTCTTTCGCTGCTTTTCCTTGAAAGGCTGTTTTTAAGAGATGTCTGTGCTTTGAGAAATTATAGGTTTGTTTCTGTGTACTTTTTTACGTTTTCTGAATCTGTCTTTGATTTTTTTGTAACTTTAGACATTTTTTTTCTGTACACTCTCACTGAACTGTACTGAACTCGGTGCCAATACGAAGAACTCTATACTGTTTGCTGTCTGGTAAAGCTAAATTTTACATTCAATTTATTGGAAATACATTGAATTTTTATGTTCAGAAAGTGCAAACTTTTTGGCAATTTAGCAATAGCATGCGATAAATCACGAAAAAACCTTGTTGATAAATTCAAATCACTCGACTCTCTTCGTCATATGTGGCCATTCTGAAACCGAAAGTTATAGCAAAAGTTGGCTGTAACCGAAATACAATAGATCATAACTTGCCGCCAACAATGTTCCATATTGCATATGATTTGTTGAATATTGTTGGGCGTAGAAGTAAACATGTTCCACAGTCTGTGCTTTAACAGTAACTGATTCATTTTTAAATGGTATTTTAAGCACGAAAGATTCAAAACGTGTACAGTGAACAATTTCACTCAACTCTAATACGAATTCTAATATTTTTCAGATAGCATTCCAGTTTCAGAAGATCCACGTACACAAGTGCTAAGAATTTATTCGTATGGAATGGCGCTACCGACAATTTGCGGTCTCGGAATCATTGGAAATATCTTCAACCTCATAGTGCTGACCAGGAAGAACATGAGAGGAACTGCCTACATCTACATGCGCGGTAAGTTTTAAGGAAATGGTTCTATCGTATGGAAAATTATTCAAATGTATCAGACATCTCCATCACAAATTTTCTCGTTCAAAAAGACATGGGCATCTCAAAGATCTGTCTCAAATTCGTTAAAACCAAGTTACTAGAAAATTTTATTTGACGCAGTATTTTAGGTGTGTCTTCCTAATAACTCTTTCATTCGCTAGATATTTTCACTTTCCTTTATTCGTTAATATTTTGCAAAATGTGTAAATTTGCAGCAATGTGTAAGCTTGTTGAGTATGAAAGTATAATATTCATAAATAAAATAAAAGCTGAACACACATCTCAAATTGAAAATGAACATTTTCAAGTTCGTTTAAATGAGTAAAAAAACCCAAAAAATATTTTTTGTTTCCAATTTTGTGTAGAACTAGATACTAATTTTTGCTGGGAAAAAAGCATTAGCGTGCACCGTTTTTTGACAATCCAACGGTTTTCATTTTCTAAATCAGAAACTGTGCATATTTGCGAAAAAAACCAAAAGAGCTTTTTTGTTGCGAACTGCATCGAACATGCATCGTTTCTAGTTCCAAAATGACTAGAGAGAAAGAAAAAAGAAACAAAAAGATGATTAGAAAATTTTTTCGACGACGAATTAACAAATATCGAGTATTACGTGAATTTTTTCAATCCAACTGATTTTTGAATCAGAAACTGTTGATTTTAGCGAAGAAACACAAAAGAGCTTTTTGTTCCCAACTGTATGTAAAATAAGGAAAAATACATTTTTTGAAACAAAACCTTTGGCGTGCACAGGTTTGCTGCCAGGTAAGGTAAGTATCGCATGTTGAACAGAGCGGTAATTTTCTCGACAATCCATCGGTTTTAATTTTTTTAATCAAAAACTTTGCATTTTTGCCAAAAAAATCGGAAGAGCGTTTTTGTTCCCAAACGCTTGTGGAATTAGAAAATAATTTTTCTTGCAGAAAAACCATTAGCGTGCACCTCAGATGCTCAGAAAATTGACAAATTTGATTTCGAGAATTTTCTCAAACGACTTATATTTTTTTAATCGAAAACTGTACATTTTAGCGAAAAACTCCGAAAATGTTTTTTGCTTCTCACTGAATGCAAAATTAAAGGGTTCTTTTTATTTGCAGCAAAACCATTGGAATGCACCGGTTTTCTCCATGGAAAAATAACGTAATTTTCGGGTTTTCGATTTTTTTCACCAGAAACTGTGCCTTTCCTCAAAAACCCCAATTAGCTTTTTTGTTTCCAACTGTATGTAGAATAAGAAAATAATTTTTGTTTGCGGAAAATCCTACAGCGTGCACAGTTTTTCCGACGGAAGATAAAAAAATGTTAGATATTGCTTTAATTGTCTCGGACAATTCAACGGTTTTCATTTTTTTAAATCATAAACTGTGGATTTTAGCAAAAAAACCCAAAGTACTTTTTTGTTTAGAATTAAAATTAGAAGTCGAAAATAATTTTCAGTTTTCAAAACCCATTGGCGTGCACCGTTTCCCAGTCCGGAATTGGGTTTCTTTTTTTGTCACAAAATGTGCATCACAGGCAAAAAAATTCTTGAGATATTTAGATATTTTTTTTGCAGCAAAACGACCGGATAGAAATCCATACAGGATTTCTTGTATGTTTAGCATAGCAGTAATTTTCTCAAACAATCCATCAGCTTTCATTTTCTTAGTCATAAACTATACATTTTTGCATAAAAACTGAAAATTCCTTTTTTGTTCGCAAGTGAATGTAGAATTGGAAAATATTTTTTTTAATGAAAAACCAATAGCGCGCACCGTTTTTCCGATGTAAAATTCAAACATTCTCAAATAGCTGCATTCATTTTTTCGGACAATCCGACGGTTTTCGTCTCTTTTAAGCACAAACTGTGGATGTTAGGAAAATACCCAAAATACGTTTTTTGTTCACAATTGAATTTCAGACTAAAAAATAATTTTTGTTTGCAACAAAACCATCGGTGCATCGGTTTCATCGGGTGCAGTTATTTTCTCGAATAATGCAATGTTTTTTCTATCAGAATGTGCATTTTCGCGAAAAAAACAAAATAACTTTTTTGTTCCCAACTGAATTTCTTCTCATAGAGCGCAATAATATGCTTTTATTTGCCGTTTGAATCAACGTTTTTACTGACAATTTTCCATTTAATCGATTTAAAACAAATTTTCTGTTTAGTAAATTCTGTTTCAATACAGTTTGAATGAAGAACGAAAGCGACCATCATCCATACAGACAAATATTGTTGAAAATTGCGTAAATAAGAACTTAAGTTATTTAACAATATCGAATATGCATAAAATTGATTACGTTCATTCGAGAGTAAAAAAGATGCCAGAGAGACCGAACAATAAGGAAGAATTTAGATGGTTTTGAGTTTAAATAATGAGTCAAATCATTTTCAGCCTTGATCTCAGACTATTGACGAGTTTTTAATTCAGATGGTGTTCCAAAAAATAATTAATTTATTTAATTAGACATATGCAAAGCGAAACCCGGGAGATCTGATGGAGGACTGAATGTCGAGCTAAATCCGGGATTTAAACAAACGAACCCAAACGAACCGAGTGTGAAGTTTAATTGGTTTATTAGCAGGGAATGTGCGATTTCCTACAATAAGTATTTGATAAGTCAGTGATTGTTTGCCTAGTCAGGTTCAAATAATTTCAATTTAGCGGACGTGACGAATGGTGTCAGGATCGACCCTTAAAGGTCTAGTGAACTAACCCTAAGTTGAATTACACTGGTTTAGTTGAATAGCAGATTTTCGGTCTAATTCTGGACAGTATCCAAATCATTTGTTAACTTGCCACTGAATTCCACACGAAATTACCGCACAACTTTGCAGGACAAAACATTAGCGAAAAGATGGTTTCAAAAACAAGATCGTTTCGGAAGAATACGTGGGTGAAACATCAGCTTTAAATATTTACAGGTGATGTATATCAGTGGAAATTTAAGCGCCGATTAAAGTTAACTAGTCAGATATTGCTTCACCTAAAAAAAGCTCCAAGTTTATCGACATTTAAAGCTTATTTCTCAGCAACCGTTCAGTTAAAGCCCAGCACATGCCGCTTTATGCGTAATTAAACGATGACTGCAAAAACTCGGAGTTATTACCCGCTTAATAATCATTTCCTGCCTGACCCAAAGCTGTAAAAAATCGCATTTTTCAGATTTGGGTTTTGTTAGATTTCCATTATATTTACCCGCCATCTAAAGCGATTTTTACATAAAAGAGCGCATTAATGAATGAACGAATATCGCCATGTTATAGAAATTGGTGAAACGAGCCCGGAACAAAACTACGCTTTCCTAATAACGCCTTTTTTCTTTAAATCTGAGCGCCCCCGAGTGTCATTTTCCCAGCACATTTAACGACGATTAGGATACGAACCCACACTTTTCTGGAAACTTATTGTTGCTTTCGCAAATGGCGTTTGCTTTTATGGTGATTTCGCGAGAAAAATCGCTGTGTAAAAAGTTCATATCCTGAGGACAGAATTAGCGTTCTCTCCAGTGAATTTGCTTTATTAAAACTGAAAATGTTTTGCTTCAAATTAATGAATTTTTGAAGCAAAAAAAGCGAAAGCACAGAGAAATTGATCAGGCTTTTGGTAAAGACCAAATAACAATTGAAATCAAATGAAAAGCTACGTTTTGAATGCTTCTCATTTTCGACGCAAAAATAGCAATTTTTTGTTTCTCTATTCTGTTTTAATCGTTACATTTGCAGGCATTAAACATTTGGTTGGTGCAACCGATATGTTAATCTGCAAACGCAGACGCGAAAAACGCCTTTGAAGTTTTTCATATCAGACTCTGAATGTCAATATTCTGAAAACCATACTCAAATTATTTTATTAAGTGTTATTTTCATAAGAAAGTGTATAAATGAGAAAATTAAATGCAACAAACTGCTCAGAAGAAACGACGATGCAGTGACGAAATTTGCAGTGTTTTCGTGTGGAACCTCAATATTTTCCACCTGCTCCTTGGCTGTTTTTTTTCTTTTTCTCTTTCAGTGCAAGTGTACCAAGTTAAACTAATTGAAGAATAACAAAATTAAAAATTAATAGTAACCCAAGACACAACAATAAAATAATCGGTTGTTTGCCATTTGATTTCCATCTTATCTTCTTATTAATGGTAAAATCCGAGGTCGCATCACATTTTTTTAACGAAGCAGCCACAGGAACATGAAACTGGAGATTAAACTTCTGATGAAAAATATTTTCAGATGAAATTGGAAACGGAAAATTCTCTTTATTCCATGTAAAAAATATTCACTTTCGATAAACATAAATCACGTATTTTTGTTGACACCCGAAAATTGCTTTTATCGGCTTAACATGAGGGCATTACCGTTCGAAGAAAGCAAAATGAACTCATTTGAGCCACTTTGCATTTGAAAATCCTCAAATAACAGTTAATTTGGCTGTAATGAGCGCATTTTGGTGAAAGTGTGGCTTAGACTGGGGATGCCTAAACGGCAAAGTATGGGTTTAATTTTTCAGTTTCCCAGTTATCACTGAAAGCGGAACATACAGCGAAACAGTCTAAAGAGCCCTGAAAAGAAGTGGCTCTGAAATTGAGGCTCTAACAGCCCTAATGTGAAAAGCACGCCCGCAGTGGGTGATTCGATAAACCTCTTACGAAGGGTTGGCAAATGGAATGTAACACCCACATACACGAACGATCAACAGCGAATTAGTCTGGACGGCACCTAATGGAAGCAATGTTATTTTATTTTAGAATACACAAGACTTTCTGTACATACATTGCGAGCAAATTTTAAGCGAAGCTTAAATATTCCCTAATTTTTAACGGATTTTTTTTGTCCAAGAAAGCAAAATTTATTATATAAGATACACGCAAAAATGGAATAGAAATACTGTACAGGATGTGCAAATGATGGCATGTTTTCTTGGTCTTAAGCCCCTGTCCCATGCCTCCGTTTGTACGATGATACGATGGTACGAAAGTGCTTCTAATGGTTGGGGATCTTTCAATTCGTCCTCCGTTCGTACTACGGAACAAAATTGTAACTGAACTAATCCAAGGCTAACAACATTAAAGTAAATTGAGTAGATTTAATCATAAAGGAATCAAAGGGTATATGAGGGGAAAAAATCCATTTTGAATCGTGGTAAACACAATTGATCATTTTTTTACAAACTTCTTTTTGGGTATTTTGCCTCAAAAATTTTTGTCTTTAAAAAGGACAGACTTAATAACAAGACAGACAGTAATCAAGAACTATCACCTAGAGGGTATCCTGCGACACACTTAGGCTCAAGCTGTAAGAGAAAATTCCAATTAGTAGAGAATATAATTTGAAAAATTACCTTGACGTTTCGATAGCTATTTTCTGCTATCTTTATCAAAAGAACCTAAATGAACCTAAAAAAGAGTATGTTAATAAATTGTGTAACAATAGTAGGATAATACAGTATATGAAAATTCGCTTTGATAATTCGTCTGTGCAAATTCTCAGTTATGCGACTTTGACTTAATCTCATTGTTTAAATTAATAAAGGTAATGTTAATTAATAATTTTGGTGTAAATTTAATTTGGGTGTATGTTTCTCTGGTCTACTTCAGATTTTAGCATAGGTAACCATGTACGACTTAAATTAAATGAACATGAAGCAACACAATTATTTTGATTTAGTAAAATTAGTGCGCTTTTCTTAGTTAAAATTGTGGAATTATTCCATTGAATTTTATGGCAATTATCAAATGCATGTTGACGAATGTGTGATTTATGATATTCTCTGTTTTTTATGTATGATTGGTGTTCTTTGAGTCTTTT